AGGGCCCCAAGATGAGGGGAGAGCCCAAGGACAAGGGGCAGGTGGGCCCCAGGCAGGGGAGGGAGGGGAGTGGATAGGGGCACGCGGCATCCTGGCGTACCACCCTGCCGTCCGCGGATCGATAAAGTCTGGGCAGCGTGGGACCGCTGGCGGAGACGAGGCGCTCTGGGGCCTCTAATTCCCAAAATATCTTTATTGATTGATGAAACTTCTAAAAAACAATTATTTTTGTATGTCCAATAAGTTTATCTTGGCCGAAACCGTCCATGCTCTGGGGTGTCTCGGCAACATTCACGTTGTCTCCGGAATGTGTGAGGTTTTTCCTGCCATGGTAGCTTTCACACCGTATAAAAAATATGAAAACTAGCATAATAATTGGGCGTAGAGGTTCACGGGGCTCTGAGGGACCCAGAGGGATTTGAGGGGGCCACCTGTGGCTCAGAGGTTCACGAGGCTTGGAAGGACCCCTAGGCTCTGAGGGCCCGAGGTTCAGAGGGCCCTGATTTTTTATGGCCCCGTGGTTATTCTACATACTTAGATAAACGTTTTTGAGCATTGTTTAATATACATATGTATTGAATTCATTGTGTGTGTGTGGGGGGGGGAGGCATCCAGTGTATATATATACATGTTGCGTTATATCGAGGTCCCCCGCAGGATCGAATTACTGCCCCTCCCCGGGCTGCAACCCCTCAACAAGCTAGCTAACTCCCGAGTACCTATTTACTGCTAGGTAAACAGGAGCATTAAGTAATAGGAAACGCGCCTAACCATTTCTGCCCCGCCCGGGATTAGAACCCGGAATTAGCGATTGTGAATTGAGAACGGACCCGACTGAAAATAGTAGCAAGTATAGTGCTTTCAGAGATATGTCCTTGGAACTCTGTTGTTTATCATGTATATAAATGGTTGAAGTACAGGAGTACAACCTTAGCAAGTTTGCCCAAAATACAAAGACAGGACAGGAAATAAATCTAGAAGAGACGCAAATTTGATATAAGACGAATTTGATAAATAGATAAACTACTGGCTGGCAGTTGCAAATGCCTAGGAAATAATACGAGTTAGAAAATGATAAAATTGCTAATTCTGAATGCACAAGAGATCTGGATGTCAAAATTAGTGGGGATCTGACTCATTTGACTCATATAAATGTTGGAAATGAGGAAAGTAGGATTGATAAGTTTTAGTAATACTAAATCTAGTGAAATTTTCAGCTTTATCTTGATCTTGTTAGGCTCTGTTATCTTATATAGTTCAATTTTCATTAGTTCAAGTTAAAGTACGCTTATTGAGACAATGTATTGGGGGTAGAAATAGCCTAAGCTACTCTATCCCTTTGAGATGTATTTCTTTCTTGTCTCAATAAACATACTTGAACTTAAACTTGAATTGAGACCAATAAAATACATCTCAAAGGGATAAAGTACCTTAGGCTATTTCTACCCCCCCCCCCCACCTAAATCATTAGTAGGGCTTTCACTAAGCAGACGTAATTATAAAAGGAATTGAAATCGGTGATAATCCACCACCTTCCTCTCGCGGTCCCCGAGTGAGGTCACTCAAGTTTGGTCAGGTCACACTGGGTATTACGAGGTGTTAACAAGGTAGGGAACATTGTTGGATTTAGATTTCAGATTTAGCTACTCAGAACGAAGTGTAGCACAGACTATAGTGATCCCGTAAAGTAGGGAACATTGTGATTGATTCATCATAAATCGATTACATAATTCAGAACTTATAATAATACAATATTCCACAAACATTATAATACATTGCCATTATAAAACAACATTATGCAATGATGCAAGTGATTCAAGTAATGCAAGACCTGTAACACTGCTCAAATAACTTAAGAGACAATCATTTGTCCAGACACACTGGTGGTGCATCACCGGTGCGGCCAGTGTTGTAGTCCGGTGGTGTGGGGGAGGTCCCCGGGAAGTCCAAAGGCACCAACAACGCAAAACGTTCGAGTGATCTCTCCACAGTTCGGTTGCGTTGGTTTGTTTCTCAATGTTCTTATTCTGTATTTTGTTAGTCAAGAGTCATGTGTTGTGTCAGGTGATGTGCTGGAGAGTCATGTCTTGTGTCAAGTGATGTGCTGGAGAGTCATGTCTTGTGTCAAGTGATGTGCTGGAGAGTCATGTATTGTGTCAGGTGATGTGCTGGAGAGTCGTGTCTTGTGTCAAGTGATGTGCTGGAGAGTCGTGTCTTGTGTCAAGTGATGTGTTGGAGAGTCATGTATTGTGTCAGGTGATGTGTTGGAGAGTCATGTCTTGTGTCAGGTGATGTGCTGGAGAGTCGTATCTTGTGTCAGGTGATGTGCAGGAGAGTCATGTATTGTGTCAAGTGATGTGTTGGAGAGTCGTGTCTTGTGTCAGGTGATGTGCTGCAGAGTCATGTCTTGTGTCAGGTGATGTGTTGGAGAGTCATGTCTTGTGTCAGGTGATGTGTTGGAGAGTCGTGTCTTGTGTCAGGTGATGTGTTGGAGAGTCATGTCTTGTGTCAGGTGATGTGTTGGAGAGTCATGTCTTGTGTCAGGTGGTGTGTTGGAGAGTCATGTCTTGTGTCAGGTGGTGTGTTGGAGTCATGTCTTGTGTCAAGTGATGTGCTGGAGTCATATCTTGTGTCATGTGATGTGTTGGAGTCATGTCTTGTGTCAGGTGATGTGTTGGAGAGTCATGTCTTGTGTCAGGTGATGTGTTGGAGAGTCATGTCTTGTGTCAGGTGATGTGTTGGAGAGTCATGTCTTGTGTCAGGTGATGTGCTGGAGTCATGTCATGTACCAAGTAATGTGCTGGAGTCATGTCATGTACCAAGTGATGTGCTGGAGAGTCATGTCATGTACCAGGTGATGTGCTGGCGAGTCATGTCTAGTGTGAGAGGCAGGGCTGAGGATGTGCAGCTCAGGGACACAACTAGGTGAGCGCCCTCTCCCACACCGCCTCCACACTCCACCACCTGTGTCCCACGGTCCAAGGTCGGGCGCTTGTGATGGGGCTGTGTCGTCGTGTTGTGAGCCGTCAGTCACGGAAGCGGCGCTTGTGTTGCCTGTGGTCGCTTTGGCTACACCCCCTGGCTGCCCCTGTGTACACCCTGGCTGCCCCTGTGTACACCCTGGCTGCCCCTGTGTACATCTTGGCTGCCCCTGTGTACATCTTGGCTGCCCCTGTGTACACCAGACCGTTCTGTACACTACGCCAGTTTCTCGTTCACAACCTGTCAACCCTTCCCTTGCCAAGGTGGTTGATCTTCTGGAATCGGTGTTGTTGATTTGTAAATTACCATAGCGGTGGGATCGATTGGTTGTTTCAAGCGTAGGTTAGACACACATACGCGAATTTGAGTGGATACAAGCAGGAGCTGCCTCGTATGGTCCAACTGCGGTTTTATTAATTCTTATATTCTTATGACATTACAGAGCGCGGGCCACGTGTGTCCACCCATGACGTCACACAGCGCGGGCCACGTGTGTCCACCCATGACGTCACACAGCGCGGGCCACGTGTGTCCACCCATGACGTCACACAGCGCGGGCCACGTGTGTCCACCCATGACGTCACACAGCGCGGGCCACGTGTGTCCACTCATGACGTCACACGGCGCGGGCCACGTGTGTCCACTCATGACGTCACACAGCGCGGGCCACGTGTGTCCAGCCATGACGTCACACAGCGCGGGCCACGTGTGTCCAGCCATGACGTCACACAGCGCGGGCCTCCCACACTGGAGCCGGCTAGTGACGGCGCTGTTGATGTATGGGAGGTGGTGGTCCCACCCACCAGTGGTCCCATGAACCACTGGTGGTGGTTCATGGGAGAGGTGTAGGTGATTCACGGGAGAGGAGGTGTCTTTGATACATGGGACGGGAGGTGTAGGTGGTGCATGGGAGGGGAGGTGCAGCTGGAGCATGGGAGCCACACAATAACCTAGTGTAGGCGAGGACCTACACTAGATGATGACTAATGCAGGTGTCGTCATCATCTGAGTTACTACGCACGTTCCCACCCGTCCCTCCTGCACGCCCGCACGCGCGCCCACACACACGCACACACATGGGGCTGGATGTGGGAGCAACACTAGGCTGGGGCTGGATGTGGGAGACAACACTAGGCTGGGGCTGGATGTGGGAGCAACACTAGGCTGGGGCTGGATGTGGGAGCAACACTAGGCTGGGGCTGGATGTGGGAGCAACACTAGGCTGGGGCTGGATGTGGGAGCAACACTAGGCTGGGGCTGGATGTGGGAGCAACACTAGGCTGGGGCTGGATGTGGGAGCAACACTAGGCTGGGGCTGGATGTGGGAGCAACACTAGGCTGGGGCTGGATGTGGGAGCAACACTAGGCTGGGGCTGGATGTGGGAGCAACACTAGGCTGGGGCTGGATGTAGGAGCAACACTAGGCTGGGGCTGGATGTGGGAGCAACACTAGGCTGGGGCTGGATGTGGGAGCACTAACCTACCAAGAAAGGTTAAGAGAGGTGCACGTGGCCACGCCCCACAACACTGCACACAACACATATTCTCCCACAATGATAGCACTTATAACTAGTGTATGACCAAACGTACAAAAGTGGTCTATACAACCAACAATACTTACGTATTGTGATATACATTTTGTAGAGGGTGAGCCAAAATAAAAACCCGAACTTAAACATTCCTAGCCTAGTACATGTGTTAATATATTAGGCCTAGAATTGCTTGGACATATTAGAACTTTTTAAGCTTTCCAATTTCTCAGAATGCCATTAGTCACTAATATAAAACGTGAACTTTTTTGGATCCAATAGTTAATTTGTATACGCTTGACTAAATAGTTGCTATAAGCACTACTATTATTGAAGGAAAGACTGGAACTAGAAAGGTTGGACAAGATTGATAACAAAACTTTTGATTAAAGTCTTTATATTTCGTCTATATGTAAGTAATAAATCTCATTCGCCTGTGTGACAGCGAGCAGGCATGTTGGTGTTGGCGGCCATTATGCCAGCACCACACTGCCAGCACCACACTGCCAGCACCACACTGCCAGCACCACACTCCACGCGTCAGGAAAAGTTCAGTAATATTCATAGGTGTGTGTGTGTGTGGAGTGTTGTCAGCGCTTATACCAGGTGAGGACGTGTTCCCTGCTCTCACACACTCTCATACACTCACCAACTCTCACACCCTCACACACACCTCAGGAACTTGTACATCAGTTGATTGACAGTTCAGAGGCGGGACCAAGGAGCCAGAGCTCAATCCCAGCAACCACAACTAGGTGAGTACACCCACTCACACCCTGTCACCCACTCTCACACCCTCTCATACACTCACCCACTCTCACACCCTCACCTACTCTCACTCACATAACTAGACACCTTCCTCTACCTCGTGAAAAACGCTCATGTCTTTTACACCTAATGTTTTCTTTCTTAATAATAATTATGGTTACTGACACCGTCGTGTTATAATATCACTGACCCGGTATCAGGAAGACGATGAAGCGAGAAAACGAATAGATTTGCGGTTAAAATACTCTCCATGACCTAACCTAACCGATCCTTTAACCTAACCTTAACCTTAACCTAACCTTAATCTAGTGAGGTGACCATATTGACTCGCCCCACCGCCATGAGTCGCGTCTGGTATGCTTGGGCAAACTCAATGACAATAGGAGCTCCGAGTCCTTGGATGGCCGAGCGAACTGTATCATTGTTACTGGCCCTGAAGTGCGGAGGTCAGATTGGGGGGGTCATTGTCCCTGACCTCTTGGTCAGGTCAAGGTGACCCACCACTTATGGGCCTTTACCACCAGACGCGTAGAAGGACCATTACTCAGTCCTGTTGAATTCACGCACTTAAGGGTTTGAGAAAGTGTGAAAGCCTCAGTGAAGATTCGCACGAGGTTTGTAAGGGAAATTTCCCAGTGAGGCTTCAACACGAATTTTGTCAGGTTTGAGAAATCTCAGGTTGAAGCCTCCTTAAGATGTCCCACATAAAAGCCATATTTGAAAATTCCACGTGGACATGTCAGGATAGACTCGAGGAAGCCTCGTTGGGAATCCTGGCAAGAAAACCTGTTATGTAAGACTCCTCGAATGGAAGCCTATATTTGATATGAAACTTTGCGTGGAAGCCTCTGTGAAGTATTACGTGGAAGCCTCTATGAGAAGTCACACGTGGAAGCCTTTGTTAAATGTTTTACGTGTTAAGTAATGCACAAACATGTGTTAATGATCGCGCGGAAGCCTCCATCAGAAATCTCGCGGGAAATTTAATGAATAGGCTTCTGGGAAGTCTTTTTTAAAACATTAGGAACACTGAATTAGGCCTATTGGCTTATGCGAGGCAGTAGGCCTAAAGGCCTACTCGTGTAGCTCTCCTATCATTTATTAACATTTATAATTTCCCTTGCATTAAAAAAGCCAATGTTTATTTACAATCTTTTTAATTTTGAATTTGTCCCATTGGACCCGCTGTCGTGAGTTTTGTCATGTTTGTTTATTTAAGCGACAAACGCACATACACACAGCCGGTGGCTTAGTGGACAGCACGCTGGCCATGTGATCCTGTGGTCCGGGGTTCGATTCCCGGTGCCGGCGAGAAACAATGGGCAGTTTCTTTCATCGTGATGCCCCTGTTAGCTAGCAGTAAATAGGTACCTGGGAGTTAGTCAGCTGTCACCGGCTACTTCCTGGGTGGGTGTTTGAAGGGGGGGGGGAATAGTAGTTAGTAACAGTTGATTGACAGTTCAGAGGCGGGCCCAAAGAGCAGAGCACAACCCCCCGCAAGCACAACTAGGTGAATACAACTAGATGAATACACAGACTCTTCAAAGTCTCACGTGAAAGCCTAAATGAGAACTTTTGCCTACAGGACTCTTACAAATCTAGCGGTGAAAGTTTTTGGAAGTACTCTCTCTCTCTTGGATATATGTGTGAAGTGTCACACAGAAATTTCTGGGAAGTTCCACGTGGAAATTTCCGGAAAGTTTGTCTTGGAAGCCCTTCTGAGGAGAGGGTGTGGAGTGTTTGGTGGGGGGGAGAGGCGAGAGAGGATAGGGGGGGGATGGTGCCTAGCCTAGTCCACACTGCCGGCCATCCTCACCCGCAACACCTCGCTTCCTTTCTGTTGTGTCAGGTCAAGTTATCGAAGACAATTAACACACCACGGAACTGAATGTGAACTTATACTTTAGTCTACGCTATACATCTTCCTCCGTTCTTTATTTCAGCTTCCTGTTCTTCTTGATCGTTAGGACGGCAGTGTGTTGGAGCAGCGAGGCGGCAGGAACCAGTTGAGGGATAGGTTTTACCTGCCGTCTCCAGCTCCATGGGGGAGAGGAGGGGGTTCCCGCACCCAGACCCTCACCACAGCCGTCCAGGCACTTCCAGTCAGAGGGTTCCAGGGACTTCCTGGACCTTCCAGGCAATGTCTATGACTGCCAGAGGCGTACAGTGGTTTCCAAATGCTTTCAAGGGGCTTATAGCAGTTTCCAAAGGTTTGGATTTCTAGAGGCTTCCAGTGACTTACAAAGGTTTCGAAACACTTCCAAATGTTACTGTGGACTTAAAGAAGCTTTCAATGGCTTTCAGAGACGTCTAGGGCTTTCCAGAGATGTTTAGAGACTTTCAGAGATGTTTAGAGACTTTCAGAGACGTCTAGGACTTTCCAGAGACGTTCAGGGACTTTCAGAGACATCTAGGGCTTTCCAGAGACGTTCAGGGACTTTCAGAGACGTCTAGGGCTTTCCAGAAGCTTTCAGGGACTGCCAGAGACGTTCAGGGAGTTTCAGAGACATCTAGGGCATTCCAGAGACGTTCAGGGACTTTCAGAGACTTTCAGAGACATCTAGGGCATTCCAGAGACGTTCAGGGACTTTCAAAGACATCTAGGGCTTTCCAGAAGCGTTCAGGGACTACCAGAGAAGCCTAGGGCTTCCCACCGGGTCGTTATTCAACACGTTCATTCACTATACGATATTCTCACTCAGTATATGACATGCTCATTCACTATACCACGCTCTCACTAAACGACGTATTTATACCACACGCTCACTCACTATACAACATGGTATATACGATGCTCTCATTATACGATATGATCACTCTACGAGACTTTCACTCAATATAAGACGCGCTCATTTTTTTACATTCTTATTCACTATACGACACGCTTGCTCACTATACGACGCTCTCAGTATGCGACACACTCACTATCCGATCCTCTCTCAATATATGACACTCATTTACGACATTCATTATACGGTATTCACTATATGACTTTATACGACACTCACTATAACACCATCGCTCACTATACGTCACCTATCAAAAGCTATTTTTATTTGCCCCAGCCACAACACAACATTTTCGCCATACACTGGTTAATTGATGGTTGAGAGGCGGGGCCCAAGAGTCGAAGCTCAGCGGACAATGAGGCGAGCACAGCCACCACCCTGAGTGATTGAGATCATGGACGGCACCTGGCGGGGTGACAGGGAACGCCAGACTTGTATTTATAGAGCGTCGAACGCAGCTTTGCCCTTACGGGCTCACCATAGACCGTGCTACATGGACACTTCGTTCTCAGTAGGTGAATCTAAAACAATAAATAACAACAACAGCTTCGCCCAGAGTTACAGCCTCGCTCCTGTGCCAGGTAAGTCCACTACGGGCTCGCCATAGCCCGTGCTACTTGCCCCGCTCCTGTGCCAGGTAAGTCCACTACGGGCTCACCATAGCCCGTGCTACTTGCCCCGCTCCTGTGCCAGGTAAGTCCACTACGGGCTCGCCATAGCCCGTGCTACTTGCCCCGCTCCTGTGCCAGGTAAGTCCACTACGGGCTCGCCATAGCCCGTGCTACTTGCCCCGCTCCTGTGCCAGGTAAGTCCACTACGGGCTCACCATAGCCCGTGCTACTTGCCCCGCTCCTGTGCCAGGTAAGTCCACTACGGGCTCGCCATAGCCCGTGCTACTTGCCCCGCTCCTGTGCCAGGTAAGTCCACTACGGGCTCACCATAGCCCGTGCTACTTGCCCCGCTCCTGTGCCAGGTAAGTCCACTACGGGCTCACCATAGCCCGTGCTACTTGCCCCGCTCCTGTGCCAGGTAAGTCCACTACGGGCTCACCATAGCCCGTGCTACTTGCCCCGCTCCTGTGTCAGGTAAGTCCACTACGGGCTCACCATAGCCCGTGCTACTTGCCCCGCTCCTGTGTCAGGTAAGTCCACTACGGGCTCACCATAGCCCGTGCTACTTGCCCCGCTCCTGTGCCAGGTAAGTCCACTACGGGCTCACCATAGCCCGTGCTACTTGCCCCGCTCCTGTGTCAGGTAAGTCCACTACGGGATCACCATAGCCCGTGCTACTTGCCCCGCTCCTGTGCCAGGTAAGTGCCCTACGGGCTCACCATAGCCCGTGCTACTTGCCCCGCTCCTGTGCCCGGTAAGTCCACTACGGGCTCGCCATAGCCCGTGCTACTTGCCCCGCTCCTGTGCCAGGTAAGTGCCCTACGGGCTCACCATAGCCCGTGCTACTGCCCCGCTCCTGTGCCAGGTAAGTGCGCTACGGGCTCACCACCATAGCCCGTGCTACTTGGAACTCTTTGTTCCCTCGGGCTACGAGGTCTCCAAGCTCTCCAACTGCTTAAGTACAAACATGGCTGAGGAAAGATGCACAGGTTTCGCAAGAGGAGACTTGGGTGCTTGATGAATGGTGGTGACGGTGTAGAGAAGCTTCGTGAGAGTGCTGGTGGGTCAAGGGCAAGGTCTCTGTCAAGGGTTGCGGCGCAACTGGACATTGTTGATGGACTCATCAGTATATGTGTGTGTGAGGAGACTGTTGAGTAGTAACACTGTCTTATTCCCACACTGGGGCGCTTAGTGTATCGTGCGTAGGGAGGGGGGTGCCCCCTGCTGCTTCTGGGGGGGGTGTTGTGCCCCCCCTGCTGTTGCTAGGGGTGGGGGGGAGGCTCTTGGTTACCATGTACTATATGTGTGTGTACTCGCTTATTTGTGCCAGCAGGATCGAGTATGACGTGTTTTAGGTTCAGTCTCTCAGAACAAAAAGTTCCAAGTAGCACGGGCTATGGTGAGCCCTAAGAGCATTATCTCTTGGACCCCGCTTTTATATCCGCCGATTGTCGAATGCAATGATTCCTGACCTATTTCCCTATCATATCTATGTGTACTTACCTAGTTAAGCTTCGGCTCTTTGGTCCCGCGCGCGCGCGTGTGTGTGTGGACTCACCTAGTTGTGCTTGCGGGGGTTGAGCTCTGCTCTTTCGGCCCGACTCTCAACTGTCAATCAACTGTTTACTAACTACTTTTTTTTTCTCCACACCACACACACACACACACACACACACACACACCAGGAAGCAGCCCGTGACAGCTGACTAACTCCCAGGTACCTATTTAATGCTAGGTAACAGGGGCATTCAGGGTGAAAGAAACTTTGCCCATTCTTCTCTGTCGTGCGGGAATCGAACCCGCGCGACAGAATTACGAGTCCTGCACGCTATCCACCAGGCTACCATGCCCCTAATGTGTGTGTGTATGTGTGTGTGTGTCTGTGCGCGCGCCCGCGCGTCACTGAGGAGCATGTGGACAGCGAGTGAAGACTTTGTGTGTATTGGGGAGGAGGAGGGGGGGGGGGAGAGCGGGTCCGTATGTGCCAGGTGTACGTTCCGCACTTCCCCTTCCCTCTCCTCTCTCATTCACCTCCCCTTCCTTTCCCTCCCCTCACCTCCCATCTTCCCTCCCTCACCCCCTTCCTCCTCCTTCTTTCCGTCCTCTTTCTCCTACTCCCCCTCCCTTCATCTTACCCCCCCAACCCCCCGCCTCCCTCCAACTCCTCGCGCCGTACGCAGGATACACCCAGGCACCTTGCCAGTTAGGCATTTCCGTCACAGCAACTTGGCATGAAGTTTGTGTTTTTGATGAGTGAGGTACTGGCGCAGCCGCGCCTGGCGCAGCCGCGCCTGGCGCAGTGAAGCCTGGCGCAGTGACGTCTGGCGCAGCCAACCCTGGCGCAGTGATGCCCAACCACTTGTTGGGTACTGGTCATCACCAACGTTACTAGGCACAAGCAGTAAATACACACACACACGACTTTCACAAATCCATGTACACGCACACAACAGCTGATCATTGTAAACAAACAATGGCGTTCGAAATACTGTGATAACTTTTTGTACGCTGAGAGATTTCAACGAAATGTAGATACTTATCTGCAGAGCGCATGGGGGGTAGAAATAGCCTAAGCTACTCTATCCCTTTGAGATGTATTTATTGATTATCTCAATAAACATACTTGAACTTGTAGAGCGCAATGTTACGTAAATTCTCGAGTTCTATAATTTACTCTCATTGACTACCGTAGTTTAAATATGCACGCATTCATTATTTTGTGGCGAGCCGGATGTATTTGCATGCACTTTTACGATGTAAACAAACATTTGCGCGCGCATTTATTGTTCCGATGTCAACAGGTGTTTGGCATTCATTGTTACGTCAACAAACTGGTGTGCGTTCATTCATGATTACAATGACAACAAATAAATGTTGTGATTGTTATGTCTGAACATCATTCATTATTGTTGTTGCTTCTGTTTGTTAACTGGTATTACTGTTGAAACTTTGCCGTTGTATTACTGTTGATTCTGTTTATTTAATGTTGGGGTTGAAACTGCACAAAGAAACACAAGAATTCACACACATTTGAACTAGTATACTAGTGTACTAGGCTTCTTATGCCATATAGTAGCTCTACTTAATTATCTCAGATAATTAGAAAAGTATTTACTGTGAGAAAATATTGAGGCACACACATACTGAATATATAGAAACATGTCAAATAGATATAGAAGGAGATTGACATAGACATATAAACACAACCAAAAGAAATAACGACGAAAGACACATTTAAGTACCATAGATCAACAATTTGTGAATAACAGGTGAAGCGAAAATATGGAACATAACGGTATTTAGAGATAGCTTGAAGCACAGGTCAAGGATGATAGCAGCGACGTGGGCGTGGTGTCTGCTGCTAGTTGGCGTGGTGGGCGTGGCGGTGGGCGTGTCGGTGGGCGTGTCTGTGGAGGAGCTGGCCCGCGCCCACTCCCTGGACGCCATCATTACAGAGCACCTGAGGGGTTATCTTCGTCAGCACCAGCAGGAGAGACACCTGCAGGAGGCGTTGGTACAGCCGTACCTTCTACCTCACCTCGCTCGCGTTGCCAGGTCTGTTGCCAAGTCTGTTGCCAGGTCTATAGCCAGGTCTGTTGCCAGATATCATCTGCAGGTTCCAGAAAATAATAATTCAGAAGAAAATCATACATTGACATGATAAACTGATTTTACTTTCTTCCGTCTGCAAGATATATATACAATATATTATTATTTTTATACTGATTAAACAAAATAATTTGTGTATATAAGCATTTGATAATTGAGCTCGAGAATATGCACCTGGGTGTACGTGCAGTGTGGTGTGGTGTCTGACGTACGTGGTGTGAGGGGGTGTGACTGTAGGGTGTGTGTGGTGCAGGTACGTGAAGGAGTACGACACCGTGGTGGGGCCCCTGGTGAGGCGGACCCGGGGAGCTGAAGGAGGGCTGGAGGCAGGGGCGGACCCCGTGCTTAGCCTGGTGGTGGTCAGACGCCTGGTGAGGGACTGGTCCTGGCTTAGGGAAGCTCCGCCTCTCTCACAACACTGGCACGGTGATTATTACTGTCTTCCTTGTTGTTAATATGTCTCTCTCTCTCTCTCTCTCTCTCTCTCTCTCTCTCTCTCTCTCTCTCTCTCTCTCTCTCTCTCTCTCTCTCTCTCTCTCTCTCTCTCTCTCTCTCTCCTTTATCTTTTATTTTCACTTTTACTGATCATCATTATTTTTCTCTACTTAAAAATGAATAATGTCTTATCTAAGTTACTAATTGTTTAAACTAATTTGAATCAATTAGTTAAAAATCTACATTAAAAAAGTTTTACATTTCCTTAGATATTATACAACTGGTCCCCCCCCCCCCCATCCCTGAGGAAAGGTTGGTTAAATGATATTTCTTAAGAGATAATTATAAACGATGTGAATACCCTGATAGACAGAAGTTGTCACTACGGATTCTTTGATTGTTTACTGTGATTATTCTTTAGGTTTTGGTTCGTTAGGAAGTTGAAGATCTTTACTCTACTGTTCAAGTTATTGCTTTTGTATGTATTCTGTATATTATATGTAATCTGTCCTCAGGGAGGACTTAAGGGAATGCAGGCGATGAGTCACAATAACGGGGCTAAAGTAAGTTGACCAGACCACACACTAGAAGGTGAAGGGACGGACCGAAAAGTCGTCGTCCCTTCACCTTCTAGTCTGTGGTCTGGTCAACTTAAGGGAATGGATTGGAAACGACTACGTAATTAGTGCTATTATCTACTCTCTATCCCTGGTTAGGTTAGGTTTCATTACACTTGATTATGTTAATACAGTGTATTAACAATAATTTGAAATGTGGAATTCAAAAACTATTTCAGTGTGCCCGAGAATTCTGTTTACAGAAAAACAAATTCTTAAAAAAACGGTTTCAGCATACACTTTTTTATATTTTAAACCAACTATTTATGATACATTAAAGTTATAACTTGAGATTAATGTCTGTTTAGAACAAACGTTCTCTTACCAGTTTATATGTGGACTATTACTGGAACCGTAATATACTTTCAGACCATCACAAATATCTAAAAAAACTATCCCCGTGATTTGAAGAGGGGTTTGGTGTGGGTTCTGGAACTCCTGGAGTTCCAGGAGCCTGAGTCTTGATTTGTTTACATTTGTAGATGCGTGATAACAGCGATACTTTGTCCCTCGTGGTGTCCCCCAGGCGTGGTGTCGGGCGTGTCTGAGGCGGAGGTGGGGGTGGGTGTGGTGGGGGTGGAGCAGCAGCTGGTCGCCCAAGCACACGCTCTCACCAGACTCCACCACCTGTACAACCTCAACCCCGCCCACCTGGCGCGTCCCGCCCACCTCACCCACCTCAGCGCCGTGGCGCAGAAACAGCCCCAGGCCTCTACGGACGCGCGGACTACACCCACAAACAAAGACCACGTACGAGGTAAGTATTGATCGGGGACGTACACCACTCTTCCCACGGCTAGACAACGTACAAGATAAAAGTTAGGGATCTACGGACGCGTACGCCTCAAGGACACGCAACAAACGATGTATGTAGCAAATTGCTACGGACACGCGTCATCACCCACACTGGTGGACTATGGTGAAGTGATACACTCTGTTGTCCCTCTCAGTCGAGTGTCGAAGCGTTGTTATGTCTTCAGTCATACATCTGATGAATACACAGCTTTATTATGTATCTGCCGACACACTAGCCTCCCCATCCCTCCCTCACAGCTCTGCGGGCGTCCGATCTCGCTGCCGTGGGAGTACTGGCTCTCGAACAGGAAATGTATGGGCGAGCTGCTGAATGGTTTGCAGCCGCCCGCGAGGTCGCCCGCGAAGTCGCCCGCGACGCCAGCGACGGTAAGTCAGACACCGTGAGTTTGGTTCTAAGGGGAACCGTCCCATTCTATCTCGCTCTGCTATTGTAATAATATTCACGGTAATGACCTGGTTTACCTGAATCATCACCCGACAAACACACACCGAAACTACGACGTTGGTACAACGTTCGAACAAGTTTTAACACCTCCTAACCAGTTATAACAACCAATATAGCAAGTTGTAACAACGTTCTAATACGTCATAAACACGTTAAGCCAAGATGTAACAACTTTATTACAAGTTGTAACAAGCGGAAAATAGAGACAGTTTCGGTTTGTGCTTCCAGGGCATCATCACCAAATCCACCTCTGTCACTATCATCATCACTGTACATGTCATCATCATCTTAATAATGTCAGTCATCTTCAGCATCTCTCAGCAGCAGCACTATACTCATATTCACCATTCTTTCTGCGTAGATAGTCACGCGTCAGGTGAAGAGCAGATAGTGAATAGTGAGAGACAGATTCAACAGCTGAGTGTACTCTTGGACCTCGCTATCAGTGTTGTGAGTATACCTTACCCATCAACTGGGTATATTTGTGGTTCTCACCATCAGTGCTGTGAGTATACCTTACCCATCAACTGGGTATACTTGTGGTCACCATCAGTGCTGTGAGTATACCTTACCCATCAACTGGGTATACTTGTGGTTCTTGCCATCAGTGCTGTGAGTATACCTTCCATCACCTTTCAGACTATAACACTGTATGGTTGGTATACTGCCGTTGGTATACCCAATGGATACACTGTATCTTCTTCCAAGCCTGATCAAATAAAATTAATTCCTCTTCCAGTTTAGTATACATTAGATGATTAGTTCCTTTTAGTTATAAATAGTGAATGCTTTAGTTTCCCTCAATGAGTGAATTTACCACAGCGGCAGTGAGTGACAGCTTGACTCATCCTGTGAGTGGACACACCGCCATAGAGACAGTACTGGGCAGCGTCACTCATCCTGTGAGTGGACACACCGCCATAGTGACAGTATTGGGCAGCGTCACTCATCCTGTGAGTGGACACACCGCCATAGTGACAGTATTGGGCAGCGCCACTCATCCTGTGAGTGGACACACCGCCATAGTGACAGTATTGGGCAGCGCCACTCATCCTGTGAGTGGACACACCGCCATAGTGACAGTATTGGGCAGCGTCACTCATCCTGTGAGTGGACACACCGCCATAGTGACAGTATTGGGCAGCGTCACATCCTGTGAGTGGACACACCGCCATAGTGACAGTATTGGGCAGCGCCACTCATCCTGTGAGTGGACACACCGCCATAGCAGCATATACAACACTTCGAATAGGAAAAAAACCAGCTGGGTTGTTCATCCAGTCATATGTTCCAAAAAGCAGCTAGGACCCACTTACCTGTCTTAAGTGATCAGTTCATCAAACAAGATTAACATTTCCCAACTCTAACTTGCTGTGCTTTTGTGATGGTTCTCCGTTTTCTTCTGCAGCACGACCATCAGCTGACGAAGGGAAACCAAGAAAGGATGGGAAACTATCCTCTGCCTCTCTACCAGGTAATAATTTAGTCAGAAAAAATAATGATTCATTGTGACGGGGGACAGGCAGCCAGTATATGTACATATTAGGTTTATTAGGTCCCGGTAGTACAGTCGGGTTCGTTCATGACTCACAATCCAGACTTCCGGGTTCGATTCCCGGTGAGGTAAAGGGGGGGGGGGAGGGGTTGAAATGGTTAGGCGCATTTCCTATAACATAATGCTATAAGCCTAACGTGTATGAATACACTCTGGCTTCCTGTCCCCCCGACACAATGTATTATTATTATTATATTGAGGTCCCCCCCCCCCACCCCACAAAGTCAAACTACTAACCCTTCCCAGGATATAACCCCACAGCAAGCTGGGGTTGTTGTGGGGTTGGGTTCCTAATTTACTATTTGGTGAACAGGTGCATTAGGTGATAGGCAATGCGCCCAACCATTTCTATCCCTCCCGGGATTCGAACCCGGAATTATCAAGTGTGAGTCGAGATGGAATCCGACTGTACTACTCTAGGAGCCTTATACAAGAGTACCAGCAGCTGTAGTGCACAAGAGCACCTGGAGATGTATTGTACGAGAGTACTTACATGTATATTGTGCACAAAGGTATCTTTGTTTGCGCATAATATACATGTATGCACAAAGCGCAACTCCATAGTCTCCTGAGACTGATGGATGCCCATCATCATCTTCATGTATATTGCAGTGCGTTGTATTGCATTATACACTACTGGACTCATTGTTATATTCACATTTATTGTTGTGTACCCTGGTCTCAGACGCCGGCGGAGGTGCAGAAGGCCAGGTGGGAGGAGGAGGACGACGACGACGACGCGGTGCTGCAGCTGGAGGAGTCCGACAGTCTTCCCGCCACGACCACCGACCGCCGAGCCTCCGCCCGTCTCTGTCTTGGTCACACACTCATGGTTAGTGGTCCCAGGGGGTCCCAGGGGGTCCTAGGAGGCTCCGTCATAGTCCCAGACTCTTGGTTTCTTGGTTAATGGTCCTAGGAGACTCCATCATAGCCCCAGACTCGTGGTTAATGGTCCTAGGAGACTCCATCATAGCCCCAGACTCGTGGTTAATGGTCCTAGGAGACTGTTCTAGCCCCCAGACCCGTGGTTAATGGTCCTAGGAGACTCCGTCATAGCCCCATGGGTAGACTACTGAAACCCCTTTGACACTGTCCGATCAACCTGGACTGATCGGCACAACGTCTCTTGCAAGGTCGGTGTTCAATTCCCAATAGTACTCTTCCCGCATTCCGTCCTCACGTTCTGCCTGTTCTCATATCCATTTCAAGTGCTCTGTACTTACACTGTCTTAGTGTTTTCTCCTGCTAATTACTTCAGTTTACGGAGCCGCACACGACACTGAGTCACAAGATAAGGAAACAGGCTAGAGTAACGGAGGATATCAGAGAACCTAAATGGCAGCTAGAGTGCCTTACTGCATCTTATTGCTTCTTAATTACAATTATTACTTAACCTATACCGTTGATAGGTTAAGTAATAATTGTAAATAAGAAGCAATAAGATGCTTATCTTAACATACTAAGAAGGTTAGGTGAGGTCGGTGTTTTCTATGAAGCTTTTCAAGGTAAACTAAAATATTCACAATCAATTAGTATGTCACATATGCACTTATTAAATAAGCCAATATTGACTGAAGCAAGTGCGAGAACGGGTTGCACTGCTTCACGCACTCGCGTGTAACAGTCTTGAGCAGCTGAGTGCAATCAGGGATGTCGCAGTATAAAGTATCTTTATTAAAGATAGCATAATACATGTATCTATAGCGATGTTGATATGTTTATTTTATGTACTCGTTGTTGTGTACCAGTTTGGGTACAGTAAAGGTGAAGTATAGTTAAAACCCAAATATAACATGAATGATACCAGTAATAACAACATTATTGAGAATATCCATAGGAGCCGTGATGAGGATTCGAACCTATGCGCTGGGTATTCCCAGACACAGGCTCTAGACGACTAGGCCACCACATGGTAAAATAAGAGCATCCTGGAGTTCTACTGAACCGACGAGGATTTCCGAGGCCTCCACTGAAGCCGAACCAGGGTTCCACACAATTCCCCCCCCCCCCCCCTGCACTCTGGCTTCGCTAGAGTGATGTCTCTGTGTAATAACATTATTGATATATCGTAAATAATAATGGTAGTAGTGTTATTATTCACGATTTATTCGGGGGACCTGCTGCCTGGGTAACAGCTTCTCCCCCGAATCAACCTACCGTGGCTTTGCGCCCTGGTGAGGCCACTCCAGACCGACAACCAGAGCGCAACTCCATAGTCTCCTGAGACTGATGGATGCCTACTACTACTACTAGTGTTATTATTGTTGCGATCGTTGCAGAGTGAGAGGGAGAGGAGCCGTCTGCGGTGTCGTGTGGATGCTCGTGGCAGCTGGTGGCTGACGCTGATGCCCGCTAAGGTGGAGGAGCACAGCCTCCAGCCTCTCATCCTCTCCTTCCATCACGTCTTATCTCAGCGCCAGCTGGTCATCCTCCGCCACCTGGCTAGACCGCTGGTTAGTGCTGCCTCACCTGCCATCCTCTCTCGCATATGAATTTGTTCTTTGTACTGTTTATGACACGTGGGTGTGTTTTGCGACATCATCAAAGGGCCTTACTGTCGAAGATGTTGTTATTAGACGTCTGGTAATTAGGCTAATAACGAGTCCTCTCCGCATTCTGGGACTAGATAGTTTGTCTCTTGTTATCCAGCTACGCATCTGTCTCTCCAACCCCTTGTTTCGTGTGTTCTTGTATGGGGTTTGTAGCACAGTGGTCTGCGTGCTCAACCGAGGGACCCCGAATCAATTCCCGGGGCAGGACAGAAATAGAGGGACACGTTTCCCTTTACTCGATGCCTCTGTTCACCAAGCAGGTAGCCGGGAGTTAGGCAACTGTTGTGGGTTGCCTAACTCCCCTCATCCGCCCCCAACACTTATGAAGGTTATTGACAGTTGAGAGGCGGCACCAAAGAGCCGAAGCTTAACCCCTGCAAGCGCAACTAGGTGAGTATAGGTTTTAGTCTCAGGTTTGTGGAGGAGCCTTTCATGCGGGCCGGCAACAGGCACTTTCTGGCAGTGAAGGAGAGCGGTCAACCAACTATTTGTTCCAGTTTCATCATTGTCATAGCAACGTAACTGCTTTGTTAGACCTGATCTGTCTTCACTGGAGTTATGTCAGTACTAAGAGACAAACATGTTTCTTCTAAGTGTTCCACAAGCACATGATGCATTAGATGGTGTTCAAACATGAGCACCTCCCAACGACTCTGCAAGAAAAGTTAAGCCATCTTTGCTACCTCTCGACGACGCTGAAACTATGCGAAATTCATGGCCTCTTGAGATGAGCGTCTAAGACTTGCTACTTTCCGCTATCATACACGGGCTGGTGTACAAATTATTATGAATAATATATACCGATGACTCAGAGCGCCGGTGAGCTGGCCAATTCCTCCTCGAGGTGGACTCTCCAGCACCAGCCTGAGTCAGAGGCTCTCACACTACGTCAGAGCCTGGGGAGCCGGTGGCCGAGCCGACAGCACACTGGACACGTGATCCTGTGGTCCCGGGTTCGATGAGAAACGACGGGCAGAGTTTCTTTCACCCTATTTCTGTTACCTAGCAGTAAATAGGTACCTGGGAGTCAGTCAGCTGTCACGGGCTGCTTCCTGGGGTGTGTGTGTGTGTGGTGCGGGGGAAAAATAATAATAGTAGTAGTAGAAACAGTTGAGAGGCGAGCCGAAAGAGCAGAACTCAACCCCCGCAAGCACAACTAGGTTAATACAGAGCTCTTCACCGATTGGTTGAGGCTTCATCCCACAGCCGATCACAGTTAGTGTGAAAATCACACTTCTCTCTATTAACTGATAACGTAATGCTTTGTTACAGTCTCCTCCAGTGCCATCTTGAAATATACTTTTATACATACAAATAATACACATTTTCATAACTAATTGCAAGCTAAGTAATTACCTAAAATCAAATACGTTTTTGTGTTTTGTTATGGTAGCATTAAGAGTCCGTGTGACTCACGGGGTCAGTATGATGTCTGCTGGACTTCTCAAACACAGAAAAAAAACTATCGAGGACCTTTATTACCGTACCTCCTTGTCAAGGTACAATAATATAGGTCCTACCGGATAACAACAAAGCTAATTCCGACATGGAATAATGTAACCATACCACAAGAGTCAAATTAGCACTTTGACAAGGGTGTATGTGTGTCCAGCTGCAGGCGGCGAAGGTGCAGGGCTTCGAGGAGGACTTGACCTTCGCCTATAGATCATCGTACCTCGCGTGGCTGCATGGTGACGTCCACCCAGTCGTCCGCGCTGCCAACCGCATGATTGCTGCCTTAACTGGTACGTCATCCTCTATTTTGATTGAGTAATTGTATTCAGTTTGGCTCTTGCATCAAATAAAACCAGTTTAGCTTATTTTTAAATTATATATATATATATATATCATTCAGCATATTTTTTAATATAAGACCAATTTTAATTGACGCAAGAATGTTACATAAGCTTTAAGTACTGACACAAAGCTTTAGATCCTGTTACATGAAGCTTTAGATCCTGTTACATAAGTTTTAGGTACTGTTACATAAACTTTAGATCCTGTTACATGAAGCTTTAGGTACTGTTACATAAGCTTTAGGTACTGTTACATAAGCTTTAGGTACTGTTACATGAAGCTTTAGGTACTGTTACATAAGCTTTATGTACTGTTACATAAGCTTTAGGTACTGTTACATAAGCTTTAGGTACTGTTACATAAGCTTTAGGTACTGTTACATAAGCTTTAGGTATTGTTACGTAAACTTTAGGTACTGTTGCATAAGCATTAGGAGAGTGATGAGAGAGATATGAGAGTTCGAGAGATGATAGAGAACGAGGAATAAGAGAGAGATGAGAGCCAGATAATAGAGTACAAGAAACAAGAGACGAGAGAGAAGACAGTGAGGGATTAGAGAACGAGAGTTAACGGTGAGCAAGCGAGAGATGAGAGAAGAAAGCAAGAGCTAAGAGAGAGCCAGAAAAAAGAGATATGGAAGAGAGGGAGAGAAAGAAGTGTGAAAATCTATTAAGAGAAAACATCTTCGTGATAGACTAGGATTGGGGACCGGAGACACCTCCCACGACTGTCGTAACACGATCATTTCAAGTTTTGGTGGTAATTATGGAGCTAACTAGGGGTCCTGGGCAGGTCTTGAGATGGCTGAGGAGAAGGGGGAGGCCGAGATGCTGCAGGCCAACCTGTACGGCGCTGGAGGCCACTACGTCCTCCATATGGACTTCCTGGCCCTCTACCGCACCTTAGTGAGTTGACCTGCCTTGTCCTGCATGCTCGTGTCTTCTCCTGTATAGTGACGCTTTGTCCTGTGTGGTATTGGCTTTGTCCTGTAATCCTGTATGGTGATGGGTTGTCATGTATGGTGCTGAGGAGTTGTATACACAGTGTGTAGTGATTTGCTAATGTGTAGTGCCGTCTGACGCTGCACCAGGATTGACAACTAGGGCGCAACTCCATAGTCTCCCGAGACTGAAGGATGCCTACTATATAGTGCCGTCTGTAATGTGCAGTGGCAACTTGAGGAGTGAGACAGCGTACAAGGCCACACTTCCCGCTCTGCATGAAAATAGTGACCATGTGTTAGGTGTCACGTATAAATATTCTTAAGGACTGGGGTAGTAAATAGGACTATTGACGGCACAGGCCTCGCCAGTTCTCGACTCACAATTGGGACTCGCGGGTGGGACGGAAATGGGTGGGCACGTTTCCCATCACCTGGCAGTAAATAGGTACCTGTTGTTGTTATAGATTCAGCTACTCGGAACAAGCTCCAAGTAGCACGGGCTATGGTGAGCCCGTAATGGACTTACCTGGCTCAGGAGTGGTGCGTGATGATTAGGTACCCAGGAGTCAGGTTCAAGTTCAAGTATGTTTATTGAGATAAGCAATAAATACATCTCAAAGGGATAGAGTAGCTTAGGCTATTTCTACCCCCCTCGTCAGGTTGTTGTGGGGGTTGCATTCTGGGGGAGGGTCAGTAATTCCACCTTGGGAAAGACCTTCATTCGACCCAAAAGTATATATATATATATATATATATATATATGCACAGGTTGTCTGTCCCCCAAAATATATATTATTTTATCTTTACTCACACTACTTATTATGGGTATTATGTTATTAATTCTCGTGACGTAATTACAAGTAATAATGTTGGTTACCGTGAGACAGTGGGAGGCAGATGAGCCGGATCAGAAGCTGATGAAACAGTTCCCAAATGGAGACCGCATCGCTACCTTCATGTTCTACGTAAGTACACAACCATTTGCAATTATCATCACCAAAGACATTGTTTTATCCCATTTACTTTACATGTATTGCATATAGAATCCCATTATTGCCTATACAACAAAATCAGTACATCAAGGCCATTGCATTCGTCCCTTAATTACTGGTAATATGTTGACCAATCCACGCACTAGAAAGTGAAGGGACGACGACCTTTCGGTCCATCCTGGACCATTCTCAAGTCGATTGTCTTGAGAATGGTCCAGGACGGACCGAAACGTCGACGTCCCTTCATTTTCTAGTGTGTGGTTTGGTTAACATACTTCAGCCACGTTATTGTGACTCATCTCCTGCTACTGGTAATATATTTGTGTTGTAGATGAATGAGGTAGAAGAGGGCGGGAGGACGGTGTTCCCTCGTGTGGGCGTGGGCGTGGAGCCCGAGGCCGGCAGTGCAGTGTTCTGGTATAACTTGTCGCCGACGGGGAAGGGCGACCACCGCACGCTGCACTCCGCCTGCCCCGTCCTCCGTGGCACCAAGTGGGGTACGACGCGCCTTAACCCCATATCATTCCTCCCTCCAATTTGTTGTCATTGTCAGAGTTGTTAGACAACTTGGACTATTTTGGGGGTTAGATTTGTTTCGTGAGGGCTGGTAGTGAGAAGTGTGTCCCTATATAGTGAGGGCTGGTAGTGAGAAGTGTGTCCCTATATAGTGAGGGCTGGTAGTGAGAAGCGTGTTCCTAAATAGTGAGGGCTGGTAGTGAGAAGCGTGTTCCTAAATAGTGAGGGCTGGTAGTGAAAAAGGTGTCCCTAGCTATTAACAGTTCTAATCAGATTTCACAAAAAACAAATAAAGATACATTTGTCCTATGAATGTAATGCTCATAATAATGTTATTGGCACATGTATAAACAACATTTGTAGCCCATTTTCTTTTCTTTCAGTGAGCAACAAATGGATTAAATACTATCCACAGCTGCACCACAAGCCATGTTTACCTCTGGTAAAGTAAAACGTATCTTGTATAAAGAAGACGGAGTCAAAGTTTACCCCTTGACATTTTTAATCATTTTTATAGTGGAAATACAGTACTTAGTTTTGCATTGGTTTGTTTAAATACCAATCTTTGGCAAAATTGCTCACAGTAATCACTGGGATTTTTTTCTCGGACCAGGATTAAAGAAAGTGAAATAGGCAAGACTTGAGATATTAGCAAGAATGAACAACATAAAACAAGGAAGTCAACAAAAGTGTTTCGGAGTTGATTGATTGATGAATAAGCCACCCAAAAGGTGGCACGGGCATGAATAGCCCGTAAGTGGTGGTCCTTTGGAGCCATTACCAGTATCAAGAGCTGATACTGGAGATCTGTGGAGGTGCGACTGCACCCTGCGTGACGGGAGATGTCTCCCGTGGTTGTTAGTCAGTATGGAGGGAGTTCATTTAAAAATGGGTTAGACATAAGACTTGCTACATAGTGAACAATTTAACATGTAAACAAAACGTGAATATGTACTAACATCATTAAATTTTTGTAATTTAAAATTTAATGTTATTTATACATGTTAGGATTCAGGCCTCTTAAGAGAAACTATTTTACAGTTTGGTCAATGACAAATTTCCCTTAGAATACATTAATAACTTAACACCCAGTTTCCTAGTTATTGCTGCACTCGTGTCCATAGAGGCAAGCAAGAGAAATTGTGTCAGATCAATCCCCCCCATCTCTTTGAAATATGAAATAGCCAAAGTATTATATTTTTGTTGTGACTGCTAATTTCACAATGTCTGCAAGTGCTTAGTTTTAAAATCATTTGCCTTATAAAATTGTTCACTCAATGTATTTAAATTTTCAAAATGTTAGTTTTAATTATTTTGGAAAGGGTGCCGTCCCCAAAGAGCTTTCCCTTCCAAAAACATGAATCAAAATATATCTTCAGACTAGCTGTATTCTCCTTATTGCCTTCATTAGACTCCCTTCATATGTAACACTCCACTCCTCCCACCCATCACAGTAATCCCATGTATTGTTTATCACGTCTATTTTGTTAAGTAAGTAATTATCAAAAGAAGGCACCAAACCGGGAAGGCTATGTAGCACCATCAAATGTGCGGAATAATCAGAGGGCGCTAAATATCACCAAGGATGCCAATACGAGAACAAAAACTCATAAGGTGAACGATATCAAAAGTATCCGAGTCACCAAGAATTCTATTGAGGGACAGGCGACCGCGGTCTATATTTTTTTTTTTTTTTTTTTTTTTTTTTAAGTCTACATTCAGTCACATGCTACATGTTGCTCCCTCAACTCGTCACCTCACATATATGTACGTATTGTACTTGTTAGTATCTTAAGCCAACTGCACGAGCAGAAAAACTGTTGCAACCTGTCATTCATCAATTTATTATACCTCTGTCAATCTTTAGTTTATATCTTAAAAAATTTAAGAAATACTGTAGCACTTTTGTATATTTCACTATGAATTGTTACAAAATATTAACAAAATATTTAGGCTCAGTAAAACAATGCACTATTTTAAAAATATAAACATTTAAGTATTAGTTTAACCTACTAACACACCAGGAATCACGGCATCCCTTTTGTTATTAAAAATAAGCAGTGTAAAAAAAGTTTATTACAGTACAGAATCTAAAACAAATGGTGTCAGTAATTTGCATTTTTATTCAATAGCACTGTAAGGCACCGTTATTACAGCATCCAGAAATTAACATTTTAGTAGTCTTTGGTAATTCACATGCAATAAGATGTAATATCTACGTAATAGGCACAATCTTTTTTCATCACCAGTAAAACGACTCCACAAAATCTAAGAACTAAAAAATTATAAATTACAAAATACTAAACATTACTTTTATCTATATACAAATCAAAACTTGCATACTGTACTAATAATCTATTACCATAAAAAATATAGATAATAATCATTACAATCTATAAAACCTAATAAGAAATTGCATCATACTAATCTGAGTGATCTGCTTGCTCTCGTGGATCTTGCTTCTGCAACTTTCTTGGGTTTAGCTGTAACGGGTTTCTTGTCTTTAATTCCTCTTGCTGTCTGTCCTTGTTTTGGGGCAGCTACATTTTCAAGACCATTACCCATCTCTAGGTCATCACTGCCCTTTGAGCTGTCATTACTAGAGCTGTCCTTTTCATCAAAATCAATTGCTTTAGCAACAGAAGATTTCTTTGTTTTATGAAGAACCTTTTTCTTTGTTTGAGATTTGTCCGACAGTGATGAAGGAACATCTAATAATTTTTTTGCTGCCTTGACAGAATCTACAATTTTCTTATTTGCAGAAAGTGGACAGGAGCTGGGAACCTTCAATACAAGTCTTGTAGGACTGTCATCTAAATCAAGCCGTTTGAAATGAGAGGTTATATCTATCTCTTCATCCACTTTCTTCCTGGAGCTACCAGTTGCTTTAGCCTTGACATGAGATTTACAAACTTTCTTTTTTATTGATTTAGCATGTAACTGTTTACTTTCGGCTGGTGAAGTGACTTTCTGGAGCTTTACTGATTCCTCCGACATATCATCATCACTATAAATGCTAAACCCTTTTTCTTCAGTCAGTAGAGGAACAGCAAGTTGTCGGCGTGGTGGCTTCAGGCAAGAGTTTATTTTTATTTTCGGTTGTGCCTTTAAAGGTGTTTTCCAATCATTCTTGCATTTCTTCTCTTGCGCCAGTGGGCTTTCTTCGATCACCTCATCTGTAACAGGGTAAAATGTTAAGACTCAAACTCTCACATCTATATCACCCAATGCAAATGTTTAAAAAGACACACACACACACACACACACCTTTTCAGAAAAAAAGTGTCTAAAACCCACTTGTTTTGGGCTGGCCTCACCCAATAGATAGGTAGTAGGGAATCACCATAGGTAGGTTCAGGGCAGCCAATCACCCCTCCTTTAATAGGATCAACACCTGACTCGCAGGGACTCCCATGAGGTTTGAAATGGGGAATTTGGTTTTCCAAAGTCTTTAAACATTTTCCAGCTATTCGTCACACACAATGTAACTACAGCATTGCACAAAATAATAATTAAAAATACAGGTAATGTTGTGGTTACATTGTGTGTATATATTCCATGTTCTGAGAGAGAGAATGGGGAACAGAGCAAAAGCAGGAATGAGGAGAGGGGAATAGGTAAGAGAGGGAGCCGGGGAGAAAAAAAAAAAAAAAAAAAAAAGTGGTAAGGGGGGGATGAAGGAAGGTAAAAGCAGAAGAGGAAGGAGAGGATGGAAGCAGTGGGGAAGGGACGAAGGAGGAGGAACCACAGAGAGAGGGGACGAGAGTTGGAGGAGGAACCACAGAGAGAGGGGACGAGAGTTGGAGGAGGAATGATTGGTAGAAAGACCCAGGCACATGAGGTATCGCCTCTAGTACAGTAATTTAATCAGTTTGCTTATTAAGTCAGACTCCAAATTCATCCCAAGAACTAATAAGGAATAAAATCTTACCACCACTCTCTGTAGTATCTGTACACTCTTCTAGTGATCTCTGCAAGGCGTAACCTTGGAGAATAAGTACAGTGACAAAGTGTATGTCTTGGTACAGCAGCTGCATAAAAAAAAAAAAAATTACTTAATTACTTAATTGTAAAATATTTTTAAGAATAAATAGTAATAAGCATTGCCACCATTTCTCAATCCCATGGACAGGGGGCACTTGTCCTGTGCAATTGGAAAAAGAGATGGCTCAGTTTTCAGTGAAACATATCCTTTCATAATATCTTCATGATAACCAAAAGTGACAAAGCAGGTCTGAGAGCTATTCCTCCCTACTTGCAAGAACTACTAGGGAAGCATGTAGTAGCATCACAGGAAAGAACACCACACTGTGTTCAATCAAAAGTACAGTGGAAATTAATAAGAAAACCCAGCTTTTGTATATGGGATGGGCATAGTAAATGAGAAGTATAAGAGATGCAAGAGTGAAATGGCACATGATCAAAATATGTAATAGTGAACTGGGTGAAGAGCGAGTGCTTGTTGTGCCATGTTGGAAGGATGCTCTAATTTGAATAACGGTATGCTGGAAAGGTTAAATTAACTATACTGAACACAATTAAGGGGAGCAGGGAGGGGTTAGAGAACTTAATTACGATGAATTTATGCAGTGAAGGCACCTCCTGAAGAGACTTCAGATGTGACAACCCCTTGATAGGGAGATCCCAGAAGCAAGGCATCAAGGCTAGATATATATTAATCTTTTTCTTGGCTTTAGATCCCCCCCTACTACTCATGACTAAATATCACATGGATAGTCCAATTTTAAATATAGTCACTGAAGTTGGCAATAAGCTAACAATTCCGCAAGAAGAAAAATTAATCAAGGCACTGACCTTCTGTTCTAGTAGACTCGCAATTTTAAGTGCTTGCAGGTTGACATCGAGTGCTTGCCGATATTTCCTATCTAAAGCCAGGCACTCAGCCTTTGTGTGTAACATCTGAAGGTGTGCCTGTATATACACAAATTTAAACAAAAATTAAATTATAGATAACTAATAAAGGAAAAATATTTAAGTATTATTTACTTTTGACAGAAGTGAAGATGTTGCAAAGGAGTTGGAAGGAATAATTGGAGATAATTAAGGGGGTGCAGCCAAAGTAATGTACAAGAATTTCAAGTGTATGCCTGAAAATAATTAGTCTTAATTTCCTAAATATGCAGCTGGTAAGGAGAGGTATTAATACTCTCACCCCCCTTGACCAAGTGTTAACAAACTGTAACCATGATGTCGACAAGAAAAATCAAGTTTTAAGTTTAAAACAAGCAAGATTTTTATTATGAACAAGTCTAAATTACACAAGCCAATGTTGAACTTGTGATCAACTGTGGTACTTCCTTCCATTTATGCACTTGGCCTTCAGATGCGGCAAACTTACACAAAGTGAATGGACTGTAAAGCATCTATGAACCAATACTGGCCTAGTGGCCCAAGCAGGCGATGGGAAGGGTTTAAACAATGCTGCACTACCATAATTTGTCCAATTATATTTTTTAATAGATCTAGGGTATTTGGATAAGCTATGATTACTGATGTTCAGCTTTAAACTCTGTAACCTCACAGAAATCTAACATGCACACTAAATTACACCTAGCCTGTTTATTCAGTTATTTGGAGCGTGGAGGAGAACTCCATTACCTATACCAGAGTACGTGGGGGTTATATGTAAAACCTGGAGTGGGATCAGCAGCAGCTTCCAGATGTCTCGTGGATTCAGTGGAATTCCAGGTTGTATAACTTATACCATGTCGTTGTCCAAAGGTAAGGTGCGCAGCTTAAGAGTCCCCAGGTCGAGGGTTCGAATCCTTCACATTGCCCCAATTGATTTTCTCATTGTATTATATTGCATATTTAAGCTGGGAAGTTGTAGGTACCCATTACTTTAACTACAAATTCAAAGTGCACAGTTAAGATCTTACCAGATTTAATCTTGACATTACATAAATGGAAGATGCTGTTTTTTTTCTTTTAGATTTCTTGTCTAAAAGGGAAATGAGATGGTTAGCCACTTCTGATGCAGTGTCACTGGCATCCGTGAACATATCCGTGGCCTGTAAATTTGCAACGGCAGTTAGTAAATGTTGATTTTAAAACATTCTGGGAATGGGCAAGAAGATAATGAGGATGCAGCAGCAGAAATTGAAGAGGCAGATATGTTAGGCTCCTTAACATATTGTAAATTACCAAAAAACAATTTGTAAATAGTACACAATAGAATCTAAAAAATCTAATATAAATTTAAACAAATTTAATGACTTCATAAAAACAACAAATTGTCAAATTTGCTTTTTGTTTGCAAACCATTCTTTAAATGTTATCACTGACCTCATTAATCTCATAAATAGTCTATTTACACACAGAAATGGTCTCCATTAGCTCTTTAGGATACAACCAGGTATCTACTGTATTGCAATATCTTACATATTTCCTATCTTCAGTTATTAATAGTACATGAACCAGTTTTCTGTTTTCCTACTTTAGTTTCCAGAGAAACAAAGTTGAAAATAATATAATTTCCTAAAGCCCTTGCTGTAAACCAACCCGTTCTCGCAAATTTAATAAGTCAATATTGACTTATTAGTTGCGTGCATAGGTGACATACTAAACATAATAGTTTCCCTTGAAAAGCTTCATAGAGAACACCGACCTTACCTAACTTACTTAGTATGTTAAAATAAGCATCTTATAGCTTCGTAATTACAATTGTTACTTACCCTATTATAGGTATAGGTTAGGTAATAATTGTAATTACGAAGCAATAAGATGCTTATCTTAACATACTAAGTAGGTTAGGTAAGGTCGGTGTTTTCTATGAAGCTTTTCAAGGGAAACTATTATGTTAAGTATGTCACCTATGCACATATTTAATAAGTCAATATTGACATATTAAATTTGCGAGAACGGGTTGTGTAAACAGAGGGAAGTAGACTTCCCTCTGTTTCACTATATTATCATTGCCAAGTAAATCAAAACTATATATAAATTAACTTCACATACAATAAATCTTAAACAAAAATTATTAAATTATAGAAACTTAGTTTTTTTTTATATCATACCAACCTTTTTAAGACATTTCTGTGCAGCTTGGTGGTAACCTCCATGTGAGTGAACAAGTGCTAGCAGAACTGCTGTGGCTACATGAAGCTGACGAACAGTGGGTGTGGCACACACTAAACACTTCACCGTTCCTCGAGGACATGCTTCAAAATGAGTTATGGTGGCTTCCTCCCTGTACTTCATTGATGGAGAAGCTCTACACTTAGGGTTGGCAAGCTGGCTGATGCGCTCCTCTGGTCCCACCACCACAAGAGCTGGATTAATTGGACGATAGCCGAGGTCATACTCTATAGCTGTATTTCCAGTACGCATCTTTTCCTCATCGTCCAACACCATGTCAAACATCCTTTCACACGATAGCTGTGTCTTTTTAACATCAGGTTTGCATGAAGAAATTACAGGCATACCTCAGAATACGAGTTTAATCCGTTCCTGGAGACGCCTCGCCTTCCGAAAACTCGCATTCCGAAGTTAATTTCCCCATAAGAAATAAAGGGAAATGAATTAATCCGTTCCTGACTACCCCAAAAACCCCACATCAAACTAAATTTTTATACCTAATTCATCTAAATAAACCTACAAAACTGTGTTCCAGTTATTACTTACCTTGCTGTCGAGTGCTGTAGGCGTATGGAAGATGGTGAGGAGGGGGGAGGAGGAGAGGAGTTACTGTTTGGAAGGGGAGTCCCCTTCCATAATCACATCACATAACCCCATGCCTTGTAACACTATGGATACCACTTCTCTTTCTAAATTTTTCAAACCAGCCCCTGCTTGCCTTAAACTCTTTCTTATCTGCATCACTCGTTGCAGGGGTATTCTTTAGAAGGTCTTCGTGCAACACCCTGGCTTTCTCACAAATAATGGCCTCCGAAACACTATCACCCCTCAACTCCTTGTCGTGTATCCAAATTAATAACAACTTTTCCACTTCAAGTATTTGTGGTCTTTGTGCCGTTAATGTTCTTACTCCTTTTGCCACTTTAGCACCCATAATCTTATTTTTCTTCTTAAGTATAGTGCATATTGTTGATGTGGCTTTGTTGTACTGCCTACAAAGTTCAACAACACGTGTACCGTTCTCATGCTTCCGAATGATCTCTTGTTTCTCCTCTATTGTCATCCTCACATGAGCTTTCTGGCCTTTATCCTTACCACTGGCTTTCTTGGGACCCATGGTGAGATATATAATAACAAATTGTATAGACAAATCACCAAAAATCCAACAAAACACTGAAAATCCGCGAGAAGAATTGATGTGGGGGTAGTCACTGAGCGCGAGACAATGGTAAACTGAGGGGCGGCGGGGCGGAGGGGCGACGATCGCCGAACCACCACGCGCTAGGTCGGCCTGTACGCGTATCAACAAACTCGCGTCCCGAAGTAACCCTCGCCTTCTGAGACAAATTTTTGGAGTAAATACTGCTCGCCTTCCGAAAACCTCACATACAGGGACAATCGCATTCCGAGGTACCACTGTAGTCCCACGATGTCTCCAACATATCACTTCTGTTATCAAATATTTATTTGTATTTTAGAATTTAAGCATCGGGTTAACATATGTATACATGTACATGGTGTCTAGGTGTCATTTGAATAATAAACGAGTTAAAGACTAAACAGCATTTGTTTCATAGGATAGACTTCAGACACCCTGTACAGTAAATATACAAGTTTTAATGTACATGAAATTATAATAATATTTACCATATTGTGAAGAAGTAACTGATCCAACTGATCCAACCAATCCAATGGCTTCCCTACATGCTAGGAGAGCATAGGAAATACAAGGTTCTGCGGACTGTGCTCTAGATCCTAGCAGCCAGTGGGGAAGCCAAGCATAGATTGAAGCAACAAAATGAACCAAGGCCTGAACTTCAATTGCTCTCATTGTCCTCTTCTCCATCACATCAGTCTCCAGGGCTCGGTTTAAGTACTTGGCACCTTCCTCGTACTACACAAAAGAAAAAGAATATTTAACACACTCAAAACCTAGTTAAAATAGTTAATTTTGAAAATAGCTGTTTTGAGTTTATTTTACTGGTATGCTCTAAAATTAGGGGCATTATTTGCATAGTTACGAGCTATGAAGCAGGGCTCTCGAGATGGATCTCACTCTTCTTGGAAAAATAAATTAGCACACACAACTTTTTTGCCTTCAGCGACTGTACAAGACAAAAATGATGTTTATTAGGATAATCTTGTCCAGTGTGAAAAACTGACAAGGATAAGGAAGATAAAATAATATCTGCAATCCATTAACATGGCAACCAAAATTAAAATTTGTCTAAACTTACCTGTCCCATTTTTAAATGGTAGAAAGCAATTGATGCGATAGTAGTGACACTGAGGTACGCCATAGAAGAACCTTGCGGAGTAGCTTCTTGACAAGACTCCAATGCTTTCTCTGCCTCCTTTACAAGCTCAATAGGCACTAGTTCAGGAACTATCAGCAAAAGTTCACTTATACCTGTGGAAATAATTATATATAAAGATTTAGTAATATGTATACTGTTCTTTATTCTTTATCCTAGAATAATTTGCCATCCATTATACTAGAAATTATAAATGTAAAACCACTTCTTCAACTTCTTGCATAATGTAATAATTTACTATGCTCCTCTTTTGAAATATTTTACACGATATGAAAATTATTAGCATAATTTTCAAGTGTAAATGTATGGTTTACTTTTTATTTTACAAAGCTAATTATCAGTGTACAATCCTTTACTGCATGTAAAAAATTTAAACTTCCATTACACTAGGAAATCATAAAAGCACGATTTGCAAGAAGCATTGGAGCTTATAGCATACTGTGACCCAACGAGTTAAGGAGTACATCTGGGGAAACCCATCCTCCTGTTTAGATAGTGCCTATTGTGACGATCGTCTATAGTCAGAAGTCGTACATTCTTAGCTTTTAGATAGTAGTATACTGACTAGTAAGGAATTCTTTTAAAATAAATGAAGCTAAATCACAAACTTAAATATTCCTAGGCCTAGTATAGCACCCATATGAACTATATTAGGCCTAGGACGGTTAGGATAGGTTAATTTGTCAAAGCAACACAAGGAAAAACTAGTTTTCCCGGTTTGTCCAACTCAATAGTTCAGATTTCTATTTCTAATTTCATTGTACGTTTTGTTGCTTGGGCACCTGACAGCTGAGTGGACAGCGCTTCGGATTCGTAGTCCTGAGGTTCCGAGTTCGATCCCCGGTGGAGGCGGAGACAAATAGGCAAAATGTTTCTTTCACCCTGATGCCCTTGTTACCTAGCAGTAAAAAGGTACCTGGGAGTTAGACAGCTGCTACAGGCTGCTTCCTGGGGATGTGTAACAAAAAGGAGACCTGGTCGAGGACCAGGCCGCGGAGACGCTCGGCCCTGAAATTGCCTCGAGATAACCAAGATATGTCGGTACAGATACTATGGTCCTCATCGTTACTATAAGTACTACCAAAACAGAAGGATGGGCTGTCTAGGGTGACCCAGGATGCAGGTTAGATCCCCATTCTCCTACAATGATTTTCAACTTGCATTATTTTATATTTTGTTGAGAAACACTAAAGTAAAAGGTATTTTATGTAGATTATTTTTTTATTAACATAGGGACATGTGCATTTATACAGTTACCCTAGATTATATGAAGGGTTACGCAGCTTGTGTTCAAGAGCTAGCCATGTGATCAGTAGCCTGCACCTGCAAACTTTTGGACACATGAGGATATCCTCTAGAAAACGAGTGAATAAAGTAATTGCAAAGCTCCAGGTACCTCATCCCAGCAGGGTTGGAGGATCTAATGACTGGACATTTAATAATGTAGTGCGAGAGATCATGACAGAGTCCTTGCTCACAATCTTGAGCATGGACTGCTCAAGATTGGGAGGCAATGATTGGCCCATTAGTAAAATCTACAGCATTTTGGCAATGCTAAACTGCTTTGTTGTTCCAAGAGAAAGGGATTCATTAATTGATAACTAATGCACTTTTTTCCCCTACAAGTAATCAAGTGCACTAAAACTGACATGCAGGAAACATTTGTCACATGGAGTTAGTGAGGACACTTCGTCAGTTTATTAATACAGGACAATTCTTAAAATGCTCCCACTATTGACAAAGCTGCAATAATATTTCAAATCATGTTCTATGGAAGCAATTGTATGCAAAATACTGTGCATGTTTATAGGTGGCAATACAAACCTTTAATAAGATAGGTGTGGAGTGAGTGCTTGCTGGCAATAGATACAAGTGTAGCCCATGACCACACTGTGGGAGTGACCAGACCAGAGAGCTGATACACATAGGCTGTTGAGGTAATACAGCTACAAGCCACTTCTGCATCTTCAAGGGTCACATCCTAAATATAAAAATATCTGATTAATTACAATGAAATATTAATGCAGCTTCTTGCCACAATTACATCTGTTTAGCAACTGTATCAGACCATGTCGTACACTTAACAACTCCCACCAGCAGACTCTCCCTGCATTCCAGGACATGCAACTGTTGATGGCACAGGTTACTCATTTTATCAGGCCAAGTCACTTGCTTCTCATTCAAAGCCCCCACATACCAATTACTGCTTTAAATGTTAGATACTATAGTGCTTATTATCAGTTCATTCACATATAAATATAAACCATCTATGTTTTGAATTTAAGACATTGAAGTACTGTAGACCAATGTACAGTCCACCATTATTACATATATCCTAGTATGAAATTTGCACAAACAGGCATTGAAGCACGTGCAATGTATGTGTCTGGCTGGGTTCCACTGCTCTCTCAAGGAAGGGAGGGGAGAGAAACTGTATGGGAGTATGTATTTTTGTATTACAAAAATTATTATTCTTTCACAAGAATGTGAAAGAAGAGGTATACTGTACAGACATTAATAGATTAACAAACCATGTGACAATGACAAAGTAGTTTCCCCCCCCCCCCCCAAGGGCCAAGGGGACCCTTTATGAATGACAGCTGGGAGATAGATGTGTGCATGTATTTATACAATATTCATATACTGAGTATAAGAAACTAACATTTTCTTGGTGTTAGAGATGGTAACTTCCAGTCTTTGATGTGAACATCAGTTTACTTTAAAAATATATATTGCAGTTTTAGTTATACTATATATTAATTAATTTTACATTAAGTATACAACACATTTATTTTGGACATAAAAGTGAAGGTAATTAACTACAATACTAAAATTTTCTCCATTTGTTGCAAAAACATACTCACTACATTAACATCTTAAAATTGTAAATGAAATATTAATGAATGCCATTTAGTTATAAAGGAACACTATTACTTTGAAACAAGGCAACTGAATGAGAAGCAGGAAGTCTTGTTAAGGCGCACCAAACAACCGATCCCAAAAATGAGGCAACATGTTCCAGAAGGCAGAGCGAGTCAGCCGATGCGAGTTGGTAACTTAGGGCACAGTTTTAAACCTTCTATGAATTCAACATAAAGCTGTGAGTCAAGTCTCTTCATTAATATAACAACATCCGACAAGAATACGGTATACACACACACACAAATGTGAAAGGAGACTGACCTGAGAGCTAAGTTTGTCCCAGATCTTCAGTGCAGTATTAAGAGGGGCAAAAAATATCTCCTGGGCGTGAAGTGTTTGGCAGGCCGCTACAGGACGAACATCGCAGGTGTCATTTACCTGCTCCTCTTCACCAAGGTCTGTAGCTTGAGTAGTCAGAGATATCGGCTTCTCCGCTTCTTGAACCTCCGCCTAAAATATCACACTACTATAAATGGCTTATTTATTTAATTTCTCTAAACAAAGCAAAATCAAATTTAGAATTACAAAACATTAGAAGAAATAAACACTACTGGAAAACACAAATAAAAAATAAATAATGCTTGGCAAGCACAATAAAGCAGAAGAGACCAGAAAAAGATAAGATTAAACGCACACGTTTATAAGAGAAAAGAATGTGAAAGTATTAATCAAAGAAAATGATAAGAGTAAAAATAATTAAACATCAAACAGTAGCTTACAGCAAGTGTTGTAAGAAAAGGTTTATGAAGAAGAAAAAATTGTTTTACTTGGCAAAAGCCGTGTCTTCAGAGGCAGCCACAACCACCCAGCCTTCAAATCTTAAAATCCACTAACCAGACATGAAACCTGTGCACAATTTATGGCTTTATAAACAAACATTAATTGCCTGAACATACAATTTACAGTACTGTATATTGGTTTAATTAATATTGTATAAATACTGTATATTGGTTCAATTATTCCATTGTACCTTATATTTACCATCACTGAACTTTTATTTATTGACTTGTGATTAACAACAATTCCTACAGAAAAAAAGCAGATTGATAAAATATAATGCTAGAATGGGAACAAGTACAATGAAACCATGTGTGCACTTCAAGCAATACTCACTTCAGCTGCATCTTGAATGCTTTGTAAATGGCAAAGGTACAGCCAGAAATATGCTACAGCTTCCAGTTCACACAACTTATGGCAAGATTTACCTTTCTGTAAGAAAATAGACATATTAATCACATTGTTTGCTATAATCTGACTGGCTATATCTTGTTACAATTAACATTTATTGTAAAATCATCTTTTAAGCCAAGAAACTTATGAGTGGAATGTGGAACATGAGGAACAAGCAAATGAGATGTGAAGAGAGGAATGTACACTGAAACTTAAGAACAAATGTGGAGATAGCATTCGTCTGGAAAACAATTCGGAATACTGAAAGAATGCATTTCTACTTTATAAAGTATTTTTGGAGAATACATTACCATAGCTTCTTTCAAGATGTTAATGGCTTTGTTGACACAGTGAATAGCCTTCTCGTCTCCCACAGCCAAGTCGGAGCGAATCCACAGTGCTTCCGTAATAACTAGGAGGCCTCGTACTCTCATCTCTGCATTCGACCCACATTCAAGAGCTCTCCCACATGATAGCATATCTTCCACTGTGTCATAACTAAAAAAAAAAAAGTAATAAAAAAGTGTTTTTCAATACAGCACTATTTTTTTTTTATTAAAATTGTAATAACATTGAAAACAAATACTGTATATAAATAAAACCTGTTCTTACTTTGTCATGCATGAGAAAAATAATTATTGTTGAAAAATAATACATGCAAATACATTTTCATTACTTTGGTAAATCGGTGACTAATTTGTTTACCCTCTTCCTAGCTCACATAGCAGCCTGCATCATGTTGCTAATGTGGAAGCATCCATTTTTAAAGACCCCCAGTGCATTACCTCCTACCAGGTGCTCCCTATTAGGGGGTTGGCCACAGCCTAAATGTCTTCAGAAGGCTCTCGCCACATAAACTTTGCTCAGTATTTCTAAGCTCCCTTCTAAGATATTAGTGTACTGCCTACCACTTTGTCCCTTTATGTGTGAACTTTACATGGTCATTTGGGCTGGACGGAGCATTTCTCCTGTGCCTCACTAGGACTAATAAAAATCAGATGAGCCTTTTAAGATACTATTGTGCTAATGCAGAATGTCAGCCTGCTCCTGACTGTCCATTATTCTGGTGACAGGAAGGGTTGCACCTCGTCTAAGGAAGCAATTGACTGAAATACCTCAGGTAATTATACCTAGGGTAATCAATATTTAAACTACTGGGTAATAAAATAAAATAAATCAAAGTGATTCATATACAGTGCAAGACTTGGAGATCTTTGCCAAGATATCTAGTACAATAAAGAGTATTTTGCAACTTACGTTTGCTTTTTGTAGTAGCTAATTTCTGCCTGAAGAGCTGCAGCCATGTTGAAAGTTATTCCTTCTGCCTCACCATACTTTTGTCTGGCTTCACTCACAACATCACACACAGTTAACCCCTACACAACCAATGTTATAATTACAAATACAAATATTGATTATATTAATATACAAGAGGGGTACCATCTCTGGTTACATGTGAAGACCCTTGGCCTCTGAAAAGATAATAAAGGGATTTGAGGGATTCATTTTATACCTGGAGTATGAATTATATAATGTTTTCCATCCCCCTCTCCCCCCTTTATTTTACCAATTTGAAGTCCCTGGCCTAGGTTATAACCCACCTCAAAATTAAGCTGCTGTATGTTGTACAAATTAAAACCAGGATGCAAAAAATATTTGCTTACATTGGATAAAGTTAAAGTTAAACCTCTCCCTCACAACTTTGCCAATCTTTAAAATATTATACAACACTGACAGTAATAAAAACAGAGCGTCAAGTGAACTGGTGAGAAAACTGGGTGTTTGCTCACCAGTTCCCTGGTTCCTCCTCGGAGCCTTGTACAATATGCTAGCCCCTTCCCCCCAGACTTGTTTAGGCCAATAAGGAAGCAGGATTAGAATCTGGTTTAGCATACATATGAGGGGGAGCTTGGAGACCATAGCTCAACCCAAACCTAAGGAAACCACCCAGAAAGTTAGCCAAGACAAACCAATAATCTTAAAGAAGACAAGAAGCCAATAGTTGGCAATGAGCAAACTACCATTGCATACAGAAATTTTATTTTATATTAATATAATAGCACCGGAGGAAAAAATTATCTTTAATAACAGATGGGATTCATCAACAATTTATATCCTGTACACTAAGAATCCTTAGTTTCCGATGCAAACCCCAATTCTCCCACTTGGTAGTTTAATTAAAATGATAAACAGATGTACAAACTATACTCTCCATGCTATGAACTTGCCTTCAAGGATTTATTGTCAGATTTCTCGGAATCCCTCTTGCTCTTGGTCCACATTGTGATCAAGTCATCAAGCGAGATGTAGTCTCTGACAAATCCGCGAGCAGCAGCGACGCCTGCCTCCCAGTAGTTCCCATGGTACCTGAGAGCATCACTCCACAGCTTCACCTTCTTGCTTATAGATGGCCCCACTAAAATCTATTGTGAAAAGCACAGACAAAACTATAACCAAGCAAAAATAACAAACATACACGGGAATGAATGTACACTGTACAGTATGTACAGTATTACAATAAGCATGCATATTCGACTAGTTTGATTGTATGAAAAAAGCGAGGAAACAAATTATGCTTTAAAAAGACTGTGTGCATGCATATTTTATATATTATATACCGTATATATTTATATATGTATTTATTTATTACACAAAAGAAATACAATCTTTGAGGCTGCAAATGATATATCTGCTGTCTCACGAGAGAGAAAAAAAGGCTATTTCAATTCAGTTATGGAATGTCTCATTCGTAACACCAACAAGGACAAATTATTTCCTTACATTACCTTCTGTTCTTGTGAAGCCAATGTATGATACTTGTCTAGCATATCTACAGAGGTCTCAAGGAACTTGGATACCACATCATACTTTCTGTTTCGGAAGGCAAGTACTCCTAAATTACCAGTGTTGACTCCTGTAAACAAGATTTGTTGTTTATTCACTTATTTGATGTACAAAATAAACAGTACCAACATATCTTCAGCAGTCCCTAGTTATTTCAAGTGTATGATGTTTTGCAAAACATTGTAGCTTGTTTTGTCATATCTGTCAAATAAATGAAATACTTTTCCTCATTAACAAATACAAAAAATACAGATATTGAAAATGTGTGCAGGTCAATCATTTCTAATGCCTTCCAACAAATTGGGGCAGAATGTATGTCCTGTAGTTGAAATAAGAGTAATGTGACAAAATACATCACTAGCAATGATACATGAAGTGGAAACAGGAGAAAAGCTGTAGTCCCACAGCCACTCACCAACATTATAAACATTCCACAATGCATCTGATGGATTTCCGCAATGAGTAGACATGAAGGCTTTGGTCTTGATAACCCACGTAAGAGCTTGGGTCATTATCGTGTTCTGATCAGCAGAAGTTTTCATAAGGTCAACAAAGCAACCTAACTGCTGGTACAACACAGTGGTAACCTGCAGGGCAAATCATTATTTATACTCTTTTTATACTGTACAAGCAGGTGTCACAGCAGATGTCATATCTCGGCAGCAGGTGCAAATTAAACAACAACGGTTTCATAAAAGTAAGTATGCGCACAGCTTACCTTCTTGGTATTGTCTTCTGTTAGTGGTGTGTTACATCTTTCAAGTAGAACCTCCACAAGACACGAGAGCACCCGACTACTCAAAGAATACTGATAAATAAACAAATATTAACATGGCTCAATAGGTAGATGGATGGGAAGGGTGAGGTATTTATATATACTGTATGTATGTATATATATGTATATGTATATATATGTATATATATGTATATATATGTATATATATATATATATATATATATATATATATATATATATATATATATATATATATATATATATATATATATATATATATATATATATATATATATATATATATATATATAAATAAAAAGTACACATTTTTCACAAAATCCATGTTATACACATTAATTTATTTCAACTGTATAAAACAAAATTTCTTACCAAAGTATCTTTGTCCTGTTGGTATTCAAACAGTCCTATGGTATATAGCAAACTGACTAGTATGACTGTGTTCAACACAGAGATACTGGGAATTGCTTTGCACGATCCAACCAGCGTCACTAGCATGTCTTCTTTACATTTGCCAACTTTCAGTGCCATGCCCACTTCGTTTATTTTCAGACCAAATTTTAAAGCTAGTATTGTTTGTGCATCACAAAAGTTTTCGCTAAAATTTACAAAGGGGCGAGTTATCTTGCTGAACTGTGCACACATGTTCAACTTCACAACAATCTTGCCATATTCCATGACAAGACCAAATATAGCCAAAATTTCTTCTTCTTCGCATTTCTTGCGCGTTTTAGCCGCCTCCGTCAAACTACATATGACAACCTGATAAAATTTATCAAGGTGTTCTGGCGATTTCTGTACTTGCTCATAATTAAGGTGTGCTTTTATAGCTTGTGAACACACTTTAGTTGCATTTGTTCCGGCAGCAATGAGGTACTGTAGTGCAGCTCTCTGCAACGTAAGAGCTTCTAGAGGTGAAGAAACATTTAGACTAGTATTCCAAACAATTTGAGACAGAGTTCTCATTATGGTCAATGCATCATCTTTTGAGGCGTCGCACAGATTTGTGTAAGATTCCATACTGGTCACCAGGTCAACCAAATATTGGTTAAGATCCTGAAAGTATCAAAGAATATAATGGTTAGTCATAATCTTAAGATTCAGGGTTTTTTAGAGTTAATCATAGCTGACAAAATGATCAAAAGCAACATTCGTAGCCACATTGGAAGTGTATAAATAAATACGTACCTTTCTTTTAGTCGAAGTGAGTATGATGTAAAATATTGATTTAAGATGAAAAAGTGGGTCACTTGCAATTTGTTTTGACTGATATTTACATGTAACATTTACAATATCCAATATTGCAGCAAAAGTATCTTTCTCGAGGTTCTGGTTTTCAAACACATAGCGGGAACAGTATCGGATGATTTGCGGGCCCTCTCCATTTTCAACACTTGAAAGCATTAATAATTTCTGGAAACAAAGGACAAGAGTATTAACTGAACAGTACTGCAACTTCACCGACATAGTAATACAGTACAGTATTCGCTCGGAAAATGAAAGCTTTCCAAGGCATTCCTCCTCTTGTCCATAAATTTACATATACTGTAGCATAAATTTACTGCTCTGTGGCTCCTACTTCAATAGCCAAACTAGTTATATAACTTCTTTAGCAGGTTTCCAGGAGCAAACAAGACATTAAAGATATATAATGCAGTAATGTATATGTAGTACCTGGAACTGATAGAGTAATAAAAGTGTGAACAGTTGACTAATACAGCAAAAGTACTGCACAATTTTAAGTTTTAAGCAAAACAGGCATTTGCTGATTATGCAAAATTTAAATGTTTCCTAAATTTAATTACATGAAATTCTAGGGAACCGTTACTAACTACAGTACAATAAAGTTTATTGTTTCAAACACCCACAACCTGAGTTCAGGGTAAGTTTAATGGTCCTCACAACCACATATTTTGAATCATTTTGTTTTAAAAGTATTAATTTACTTTTTAAAAACTTTTGGCATCAAAGCTTTTCTACAGAAAGAGAATCAACTCTTGTAGATGAAATACATATCAAGGTACAGTATTAACCTAAACATATCAAGTAGCCCAGCTCTGACCCAGTTCATGAAACTGGTGACTTTGGCACTAGGTAACTAGTTATACAATATCACTTTTTTAAACAAGTTTCATCAGCATAAAAATATTTTGGAGAAGCTTCCGGTCGTCTGCCATTTATGGGGAAAACTAGTTCCTGCAGTATTGGATAAATCTAAACCAAAATTATGTGCAACTTTTCAGATATACTATCAGGTATATACACAATGAAGCATAACAATGGTAGACAGCTAAAATGGTACATTATGGAAAAAAATAATGTGGCCAAGCAGCAATGCCATGGAGAGTCAAAGACTGTTCTCTGCCACCGAAACCACGAGTCTTTAAATCAACTGAAAAATCTGAAACGTATTGATGTACTGTACCATGTTATCTCACATTAATATCAGGCCTTAAACTTGAGTAGTTCAAGATACAAGCCACTGAACATTTGGGTGGCCAATGTCAGTTCTTGATCATTTGGATTCTGAACCTGTACTTGCTTAGTAGTACAATACTTGCAGGGGACTATAGTATCTCCCAATTTGGGAGGAAACCAGAAATTCAAATATACTGTACAGTACTTTAATTCTTAATCTTCGAATTTGCTTAAATCGAGTTAACAGAACAGTACCAGAATTACATAAGAAGAATTTAGCTGCAAGGTCAGGTTAAGGAAACTCGCCTCAACATTTAATACTTATATAATTTTGAAAAGTATTTATCTTCTTGGATTTAGTTTTGCATTATGTTCAAGGTGATGAGGTTATATTGATAATTTTTGTTAGCTAGGAAGAGAAGACATTTAGCAACTTTACCCAGAATAAAATTACCAACATTTGTGAGAAACATTTTCCTCAGAATTGGTAACCACTTACTTGAACTTGAACATGTAGACCTATCACCTGGCCAGCTTTGATGCTTTCTAGAACTTTGGTTAAAGATGCCATGCTGTTCTGAAGACAAGAAAGAAAAGTATCAAACTAAAGCAGGGACAATTTTTCTGGAATGCATCACCAATAATTGAAACTTAAAATAAATAAATTTTATATATATATATATATATATATATATATATATATATATATATATATATATATATATATATATATATATATATATAGTATATATATAATTTTATTTATTTAGTAAAAGAGAAACATGGGAGCACAATAGAGATAAGTAAACATGGATGGAAAGTGCATGTGTACACTCCCACCCACTCACTCGCTTTCCCTTGCAAATAAGTTAATAAGGAACAATAACACCTACCAAAATGTCTTGCCTAGGAATGAGGGAACACTCCTGGCTCACTCTCTCAAGAAGTGATAACAATAACACCTATGGCTCACTCCCCCAAGGAACAATAACACCTATGGCTCACTCCCCCAAGGAACGATAACACCTATGGCTCACTCCCCCAAGGAACGATAACACCCATGGCTCACTCACCCAATGAGTGATAGCACCTATGGCTTACTCCCCCAAGGAACAATAACACCTATGGCTCACTCCCCCAAGGAACGATAACACCTATGGCTCACTCCCCCAAGGAACGATAACACCAACTCCCAAACAGCTCACCAGTGACAGGATAACATCAGAGTGACGGGCCAACGCAGAGAGAGAGAGAAAAAAAATGCCCGCCCAAGTGCTCAGTGAAGAGTGGTGTTGTTGACGATTCAAACTCGTGAACAGCTGTGTGAGTCGAGCCCGACCTTACCTCCCTCCCGATACTCAGGATCCCTCACTCGCACGCTCACCTCTCTACCTCTCACACACACCCCTCCCTCCCTCCCTCATTATATCAGTATAGAGGATTTTTTTTCTATGTTATCGGGTATAAATTTGTTCCCGTTCTTGCATTGTTAATAAGGATTAAGGAGTTGTAACATTTGTGTGGGATACAGGTCATATCGCACATGAGATGATTCGCCTTCGGTTCTTTTGAAAGCTACCTAGAGCGACGTACGACGTGAAACCTCTCTAAAGCGACGTGAAACAGAGCGACATACAGTCTAATCTAGGTTGATACATCTTAGCATAGCTAAATATATATTTATATACGTTTTAACAAACGGAAAAGGGTGCTCTCGTCTCGTGTCCGAAACGACTACACCCCCATTATTGCCAGGCCTAACTTAGGTTTTCCTACATAACTGGATCATTTACTAACGTTTGATTTTAATTATAAAGATCATCGTTAAATTAATATAATTCATATAAAAAAATAATATGAGAATTATTTAAAGATATTTTAAGGCTAGTAAGTGTTTTGTAAGGTAAAAAAAAAATAATAACCCGTGAATACTTTGGACTATAATAACCATGTATTAATGAGTATAGTGAGTGATGCAGTGATGAGGAGGGTGAAATGAGGCAGTGAGAGGCGAAGGAAGAGTGCCAGGTGAGAGTGAGAGTGCCAGGTGTGAGTGCCCTCCGAGGTGATGTTTACACTTTGGGGAAGACAGTGTGGTGTGTGTGTGTGGAGAGGGCGCGTCTCGCACCTCTCTCTCCTCTCCTCTCTCACTTATTACCTCTCCTCCCTCGCCCCTCATCCCGTCTCCACACTCCCAGGCACCCTAAGCCTCCACCTCGAGTCCTGGCCTAGGCTGTCACCCTAGCAACAGGTGGTAATAGGCTGGAAGAGCGGACATAGGCCTGGGTTAAAGATACACTGTTACAGGGCCGTGTAGAGGCCTAGTCTCGTGGGACTCGTTAGAGGGATAATGAAACCTCTTATAGGCCTTCCGGAACCCTAGTCAAGTGGAACTGTTACTGGCCTGGCAAGAGGCCTAGTCAAGTGGAATCGTAATTCGGTTGTCAGCCTATGCTGCTGGACCTCACAGGGTGAGTACTGAACTGGGTTTACTTCTCAGTAGGCCTACCCCAGTCTTGCCTGCAATAGGCCTACCCGTCTTACCTGCTGTAGACGCGGTACGGTCAAATTGGACTCCAGGAATTTCAGCAAAGCTCATTTTCTGATTGTCATAACCATATACCTGTATATAGTTATCTTAGGACACATTAGTCTAAGTTACGTTCTGTTAAGAAATTGAATTGATTTTGAAATAAGTTTATTGAGGTAAAATACACACAAAGGGATGAGGTAGCTCAAGCTATTCTCACCCCGTTCAGTACATCGTGTTAATGCATACATAGACACACATCACAAACAATAAACATATTATTCTGTTAAGAGTTAGGTTAATTTGGGTTTGGTTTAGTTAAATTGGGTAAAGTTAGGTGGGTTTTAACACCCCCTTGGTAAACTGTCTTGTGTACAATATGGCTTTTATCTTTATAAACAAAAGGCGGGTAACAAGAGACTGTTAGGAAGAGCAGCATCATTCTTGATTCTTGAATCAAAACTTTGTATCATATTGGCACAAAGCTAGACATTTGGGCATGTTCCCCTGACACCTGATGCCTCTGTTTACCTAGCAATAAATAGATACCTGTTAATTAGCCGACTGGTGGGGGTTGCATCCTGGAGATGAAATGTTTAGCCGTAAGGTCAACGTTTAAATATTGTACCGTTTAGTTGTATATAGGCCAGTTGATAGCCTCGGGTGTCCAATGAACCCCAAATATAAAATTTTATTCTAATATCACTTGCCTCGGCAAACGTAGTGCAGTATGTCGTTGAGCACCAGTCCAGTGTTCGAAGACCTGCAATCTCGCTGGGTTCCTGTGAGGTTGGAGTGTTTGCGGGCTCGTCGGTCTAAGCTTGTGAGGCTTGAGTACGTACCCTGTCAAGGGTATCTTCTCTATCTCTTCTGTCTTCCTGAAAAAGGGATTGCTGACCTGCTATATCTCGGTGGAAAATGGGACCATTCGCAGACATCGGTCTATGGTGGCCACTCGGGATTTTCACCAGATAGGCATTCAGTTTTGAAAGCAGATACTGCAATAAGATTTATTTATGAAGAATTTTTTTTACTGGCTATATTACATTGTATTAATACATTTTATGTTTGTTTATAAGACTGCTAATCATACACACTCTCACTACGTGACAACAGTACTGACTCACTATAAGTTGACTTAAATGAAGTGGTTTTAGGTATGAGACACCATTGGTTTATTATCATGTGAGTGATAAAGCATCCTGTTGTTATTTATTCTATATTGAGCCTTGAAATGATTGGTGTTTGTGAGAGCATACAGTAAGTAATTATCAGAGCTTCCCAACACCAAGCTGGGAAGACTATGCAGCACCTGTGAGAGTCACATTAGACCTTTTAATAAAGTGGTCTGAATTAGCATCCTTTAAGTTTTTTTTTTTTAGATAAAAAAGATGATAGATGATAATTTTCTTCCTTTAATATGAAAGACTCATTTGATTATTCTTAGCGTTGGTTAGATTTTTTTAAGCAAGTAACACTTGCCCAGCAGCTTCCAATGATAGGTGTGACATGCATTGCTATGGCCTCTGTAAGTGTCATTTATTTTTCAATAGGCTTTTGAAGAGCATTTATCTCTTTACAGTTTTTGAAACTGATGTAGCTTGTCCACTAAGGTTGCATTATAACTTTAATTTCCCACTTTCTTGTAGATCTGTGTATCATCTACAAATTCGATTATGTGGTTTGAAATATTATCTGTGCCATTGATGCATAGGTAAGGTTATGTTGCGAGGATCAAATTTACCGTTGCAGCACTCTGCTCATGATGATTTTCCAGTCTGATTTTATTCCATTAAGGATGACTTTGTTTTGTTATTTAACCTTTGATTCATCCATTCCAGTATTTTAATACTAGTTATTCTGAGTGCCTACTTAATGTTGCAATATGTAGTGCATCAAGTAAGATTTTTATTTGCGGGCACTTTGAGATTACGTATACACTTATGTACTAGCTTATTTTTAGTAGATAAACTTTAGATACACTACTTGGTTAAGACTTTTGGTAATTTTTCATCCCATATTAAGAAAGTTTACTTGGATATTTCTTCAATGTTAGTGACAGTTGTTTCTAAAAATAATTATTTGTACACATTCAGTTATATAAACTATGGCTAGGAATGTAGGCTAGGGTATGTAAGTAGCTTTGCTGACAGGGTTTACAATTGATGAGGTCTATATCAGCAGGTGGTGCAAACTTCTGGAGATACAGCAAGGCCTAAGCCAAGCAACAGTAATATCTAGGAATTTGCTGGATTTATTGAATTACCCATACAGGTGTTTGTACCTGGATTGTGCCTTAAGTGGTTTCTGAGAGTTCTACTTCCAAAGCTCCCTAACTGAGAACCTAAATGAAATAGTTTAGGATTCACTTGATTTATTAAGTTTGATTGAAGTTTTAAGTAGAAATATTATTTTTCTCAGCCTGCATACAGACAATCCAAGGATATAATCAACTCCTTCTTTAAGAACATGTGTTTTAGCTACCTTATTAGTTCTAGGTTTATGTATTTATAGAGCAGTATGAGATGGAATAAACATTAAACAGAGTAATCCATTATTAATATGTCTGTGTCTAGTTTCAGACACAACATGTTTCTATTAACCTTTATACAGTATTAATATTCTTGTGCAATGTGTGTGTGTGTGTGCTGTATGTGTGTAATTACCTAAGTGTCATTACACATAGCACACACACCATACAAGAACTTTAATATAAAGTTAAAGTGTACTCGCTTAATTGTACTTGCGGGGGTTGAGCTCTGGCTCTTTGGTCCCCCCTCTCATCCGTCAATCAACTGGTGTACAGATTCTTGAGCCTACTGGACTCTATCATATCTACATTTGAAAATGTGTATGGAGTCAGCCTCCACCACATCACTGCCTAATGCATTCCATCTGTTAACTACTCTGACACTGAAAAAAAGTTCTTTCTAACGTTCCTGTGGCTAATTTGGGTACTCAGTTTCCACCTGTGTCCCCTTGTTCGCATACTACCCGTGTTACACAGTTTATCTTTATCTACCCTGTCAATTCCTCTGAGAATTTTGCAGGTGGTGATCATGTCTCCCCTTACTCTTTCTTCTGTCCCCTTACTCACTGTCTCTTCAGTGTGTGTGTGTGTTAAAGAGGTGTGTGTAGTTAGAGGTGATAATCACTTACAGTCACTGTGTTAATTGTGAAAAATACTTGGTATATATGTTTTGAGCTTTATACAGTTCAAAAGCAATAAATTCCATCTGAAGAGAGAAAGCCAAACTGTTTATACATAATGCTGCTCATACTGAAGATAGATGTCGTTCCTTGTCACACCAAATGCACTTCTGGCAGCACCAGTGGGGTCAAGTGGGGTCATTTAGGGAAACCTTGACCCCACTGGTTTGGGAGACGTGTTCTTCTGTGAATTAAGTACCAGTCTGACTTAGGCTAAGGCACTGTATTTTACTTCATGCTGAAGTTTGGGTTCATCATAATCTAAACTACCATCTTAAGTGGTTAAGGAGGGATGGTTGGCCATATCAATCGTGTTGATCTCGTACATCCTGGTTGTGCAACTTGCATGCCCTATCACTTGTGAATTCCTGCAAGCAACCCATTTGACTTTATATTTAATATTATTATTTTGTATTAATACAGTATATTGGTACTATTTGTATTACTTTATTTTAGGTGTCTTTGGTATTATTATGCTATATTTACTGTATCCATATACAAGAAGATACAATGGGTTGTTGACCAGACCACACACTACAAGGTGAAGGGACGACGACGTTTCGGTCCGTCCTGGACCATTCTCAATCCGTTCTCAGACTCGACTTGAGAATGGTCCTGGACGGACCGAAACGTCGTCGTCCCTTCACCTTCTAGTGTGTGGTCTGGTCAACATACTTTAGCCACGTTATTGTGACTCATCGCCTACAATGGGTTGTTAAGGGGGTACATTCAGAGTAGCCAATTCACAATCCGTTGCAATATTAGTATGCTTGAAGGTGTAATGTACTATAATTTTTGCCTGTTGCATATTAGTTCAGCTGGGCAGAGCCAGGTTACCCCATCTTGTAGGGTTATACAGTTAATCCATAAAACCGGCTATCCTCCGGAGCTGTGCACGTTAAGATGTCGCTTCAGTTTAAAATCCATATAGATAAAATCCTCGGGAATAATGGGAGGACGTTTAACAAGCCCTCGGCTTCCTGTCCAAGCTTAGACAACCAAGGAGATGGTGCAGAGGAGGAGTCATAATAACGTGGCTGAAATTTGTTGACCGAACCACACACTAGAAAGTGACGGGACGACGACGTTTCGATCCGTCCTGGACCATTCACAAGTCGAAGGGACGAAACGTCGTTGTCCCTTCACTTTCTAGTGTGTGGTTTGGTCAACAAGGGGATGGTGTTCTCGGTCAATTTAGATAGGAAGTGCCAAGGTGGACAGCCAGGAAATGGTTCTCTTGAGCAGGGGGTAGAAGAAACTTCAGTATAAGAACAGAGTGGAAGTGGAATGCGCTTAAATGGAAAGTAGTTTCAGTACATAGGAAGCAAGAGAGTCGGAGACCACTTATCAGAGGCGACCAGGAACTGAAAGACGGGGCCCCAAGAGCTGATGTTCGTCTTGTAAACACATGCAGAAGAGGATCATAAATGGCTGTGCCCATAATAAGTCGACCATGACAGTGTGTGTGTCATTGTCGTAGCTCAGTCGATTAAGGCAGTGTCTGGGATGCTCCCGGACGCAGGTTCGAATCCTCGTCACGGCCCTTGTGGATTTCTTCGACCATGCGTGTATCTGAGACATAGAGCAAGCAGGGTATCAGGCAGACGCAGACAGTTTGAGCGGCTGAGTGCGTGAGAGTAGAGGTGGACCATCCCGTCCTCTCTAGTGTTTACAATGTCACTAAACTTACTAAATCGCCCGAACCTAACCCCACTGAGGACCCACGAATGG